CAAATGGGTCAAGGGACATAGTCGCATGACCCATCCGTCTCAAACTAAAATTGGGGCGGCGATTTTGCCGCCCAGATCAACAATAAAAGCACAAATCGTGCACAAATTAGGTACAAATTGCACCAAATAACCAAATTGGTAAGTGAAAGGCACAAATTGCGCCTTAAGATTGAAATTTTAAAATAAATGCAAATTGCATTGAAAATGATAAATGTGCAACTCGCACACAATGGGGCTCATGACAAGCATCGCAGAAATGTTCACAAAACAAAATTACACAATTGATATAGTTTCTCAAAGTACAAATAAAAATTCTGTTTCCCAAATCTGAAAATTGAACTCCATTATCTCCCTTGCAATGCGTCCTAATATGTGGATAACTGATTGATGCACCACGACCCTTAAACTTACTTACCAGTTACCACAAATGTAGCACATGCACTATTAATCCTATGTCTACACTTCTGTCATTCTGCATTTGCAAGGCAATTTATCAATTATTTTGAGGCAAAATATGTGACCATATATGTAATAAAAGTTTGTGGGAATACTCAGTAAATGTCAAAGCAATATTTGAATTGCAACGTTGTGTCATAATATAAAACAATATATAAACAGAAGGTAAATTTACGACAATGGTCTTATGTAAGATTTGTAGGCTGCTGACTGTAGGGTTTTATCAATTTATCGATACGTATCAATATGCAAGAAACATATCGTATTGAAAATTAACTTCCAATACGTATCGGACAGGCATTTTTTCTTCTAATTCTGTTAAAAAGACGGGAACTTCAATCACCAAAGATCATATTTCACTTTTTTGAATTAAATCTGTTCAATAATCATTCAATTTTTTAAGGCAATAACACAGTGTTTAGAATTATTACTAAAGCATAGACAATTTTAATTTAAAATGTTGATTTTACAGTCATTAAAAGTCTTGATTTGATAGTCATTAAAAGTTTTAATTTGAGGTGTAAGTTGTAATGACAATGAAACACTTAATTTTTTTGAAATTCATACGTTAAATGATTTATAAGCCTTTTATGATTGACTTGTTATAGAATCCAATATATCGCATATATCTTAAGAAAAAAAAATAAATTATTGTATCGTATCGTATCTAAATTTTTTGCTCAATACACAGCCCTGGCGCCCGACTGCCACCTTCCCATCTGCGTAATATTTTCATCTGAAAACACTTTTGTATACAAGTGGGTTGCAACCCCAATGTGAAAAATCAGTGCGTCTTAACTTCAGTTGACTGAATATTCAAAAACTGCAAAGTTTTGCCTAAAGTTTATTCAATGTATAACGACCATATTTTGTACCTAAGAAGTGAATAGTCCGATATGTTAAATCATGGTAGCAAAATATTTTGATTGAATAATTATTATTGTTCTACGCCAAGTCGGCAATATTTTAGTCATAATTTGAAGATGTTGTAAAATAAAAATGTTCCAATAAGGAATTTACATGTTGATTACTAACCAATTAATTGCACCTTGATTTTAATATTCAAGTCTATGGACAGCGCATATGTTTTTGTAAGATATTTTAAGAAGTAGTCTGAATTTCAAACTAATCCAAGTATTATCTCTTGGTGAAAATATGCGTTTGTTTGTTTATTAAAATATGATATAAAATGAACTTTATACCGAAGAAATTTAGATAAATTATTTTTTTTTTTTTCAATCAAGGCCAGATAACTCTTAGAAACTTTCAATGTGCAAAATGACCGTCTCTGTACATGTTATTAGTCTTGCGAATTTTGGTTCATTTCACTTTTATCTTTATCTAAAATCGTCGAAAATTCCTTCATTATACATTGAATACCTTAAGATGGACGGAAACTGATATTGGGATAAGGGTTTTGAGTTTAAATGTGAAAATTGAGACGCCAATTTAATATTTGTACATAATACAGCAAAAATCTGCAAAGATTGAAACAATCACATTGTAATATTTTTCAACATGCAAACATGTCCCCGAACCAGTTTGGCCAGTCTAAAATGTTGTAACAAAAACTTGAATGGTATCACAAGAGACAATTATATGCTTGATACCCAAAGCCACTATTTTACTCACTCTTTAATAGTAATGCAAAGAAAGCTCATGTAAAAGCAGGCTTAAATAAAGCCGCTTCAAAATCATGTAAAAGCAAACTTAAATAAAGCAGCTTCAAAATCATGTAAAAGCAGACTTAAATAAAGCCGCTTCAAAATCAGAACACAAATATGGCAAAACACTGACAATGTTATCCAACATAGGTAATATAATGGTTTTCTTATATCCTGAGATGCATTAGTTACATCTCTTGAAACCAGCCCATAACTTCTTTATAATAAATGAATCGATTGGATTCTGTCAACCATGTAAGTTGATGACAAAACTGATTCCTGATAAATAACATTTGACGGTAGAAAAAGCCATAATACTCTCTGACATATATGCTATAAAATTAATCATATGATCAAAAGGAGGGGACCAGATCTGCTGAAATGATACCTGTTGCCTGAAATTGAAAAAAAAAAAGACTTTTGCTTTCTGTATTTTGAGATACACCGGTTTGAAGGAGACTGGCTACAGCTAGCTCCTGAATAGCTCTGCAAAACTGAATAGGTACATGTACATGGAGGGAAAAGGTTCTGTAATGAAACCTGGTCCACAGAAACCGAGAAATAGCATCTGGAATTTATTTATTATTATTATTTTTATAATATACCTTGTATATGTTGAGCTTTTAAATGTACATTAAACTTAAAAAGTCTGCATAACTAACATCCCGACTAATGCCATAATTCTTTTGTTTTTAGATGATTTGTGATTAAATTGCTGTAAACCAAAGAAAAAATTGTCAATATATGAAGTTTTCTTTTTTTTTAAATTTAATTTAAAATTTCAGCCCAGATCATAATCCTTAATACAACAGATACAAGTTCTAGGTAGGCGATATCCCTGTATTACTCCTCAGGCCAGTCAACAGGTCAATGTGGGCAACACCAATGTTTACTAAACACCACACCGTAACCATTGAACTATCTAAATAAAATTGAAGTGCATTAATTATATAGATTATTCCTGCCATACACGACTAGGAAATGGTGTGACATGTCCTACAATTGAAATTCCCAAGAAATAGAATTAATATTAATTACACATCAATAAGTCTAGATAACTCGTTTTTTTTTATTTATTTAATTATTTTGGGAGTCGTTTAGAAAAAAATTGTTAAACGTTTAATTATTCGATTAATTCAATTTTTTTAAAAATAAATTCTATGTACATGTATATCTAAGGAAATTGAATGTTTACATGTACATGTAATGGGACGATTTTTTTTTTTTTTTTTAACAAACCGCGATATTTTCTTTGAAAATTGTATAAAAATGGCATTACTAGATCACCGTAGAAAACATAACAAACGTGGGAAATCCCAAATTATTACTATGTGAAGGTGACCAGTGGATAGATGGATAGTTTACAGACTATTATGCAGGGTCTTGGTTTTTGAAAGCAAGTTTGTAATTCTGGTTTAAACCACGACGGATACACATGTATTAGATTTAGGCAAATTCCCAAATGTGCAGAAATACATGTAACTAACTCGATATTGGTTTTGGCAAATGGCAATGGTGGAAAAAGGGGGTCATATTTTGTCAGAAAACATGCATAGGTTCCCCTTGATAACAAGTATGACGTCATTTCAATCTCGCATTGTATGGAAATTCGTAAATTTAAAAATCTAAAAAATAATAAAAGGATTTGGGTCAAATTGAACTGTACCTCGATTATGTTGAGCTGGAATAGCAGGTAACAGGGAAACTAAGGAAGTTACAGTGACTCTGAGTCAGGTGCCTGCTCGACAATGGCGACATCATGTTCAGAACGTGGCGGTGCATGAGTTGCTACAGCTAGGCCTACTCTATGTTTTAGGTCTGGATACGGAACTTCTTGTGATTTCTCTGGAATAAGGTCTCCTGGCCTTCGAAGCTTTTGATACACGTAACATATTTACTTGTATTTGACAATAAATCAGCAGATGATGATCGATTAATTCTTTTAAAAAATCTTTGCGTCTGCTTCGTTCAATTTACAGATTCGAAAGGAATATTCTAGAAGACATGCGCATACAAGATTTTTAAGCACCGAGCCCGATGATTTATGACGTTCAATGTTAAGAAACTAAGAGTTATCTATCTTTGCATATAAAACATTAAGCTGCACGAAATAACCAGGTTTATCTATATTGGATAAACCCCATTACAATAGCAAGATTTTGTGCTTCAATTCTCGGGGTGTAAAAATTTTACTAGTGTATCGTTGAATATCTCCGAAGACAAAATATACAATCTGTTATAGAAAATTGACTTTGTTGCCTCCAAAATAGCATGTGAATATTGCGATATTTGATGAGTTCCATTTGTATTTTGATTTTTTTTTTATTTGAGTTATATGATTTCATTTACATGGTATGATTTTCTAAATGTATATGTATTCGATAATTTTCCATTGTATTGTACAATTTTCAATTGTAAATATTGTCATCCGTATTTTACAAATTTTTCATTTGCATTTTATAATTTTTCAGATAAATAAAAAATAAATAGAAATTAAGAATATAAATGGAAAATCGAATAATACAAATGGAAAATTTTATATTACAAATGGAAATTACACAATACAAATTTAAGAAAAAATATGAAAAATGAAAAAAAAATGAGAAAAAAATACAATACAAAAATATATACTCGGGTAACTAAAATAAAAAAAAATGTAAATTACGTAGTAAAATTAAACAAGTCTACAATAAGTTCATTTTTTTAAACTAAAGATTGAAGATGTTCACACATCGCTTTGATATATATGAAGATTTAATTCCTTCATCAATATTGAAGGTTGTCACTTCTCCAGATAAGATCAATCTGAGTAAAAAAGTAACATTTTAATGAAATTGACGTCTTGGAATAGTTTTTCCCATTAAATTGCACCGGAGGAGATCTAATTTTGTTTGCATCATTGCCTTTTCCATGCTGTTAGAAGATGTTCATATAAATCTAAATTTCAAATGACTGAATATCGAACTTGTTAATTTTATTACAAGAGACTCAGAGCAGTTGGACTAATACCTGACTACAATGGCGGAGAAGTCTAAACTGCGGTACACAGAAATAGACGGCGTGGAAACCACCGACATAGAGAACTTCCCCTACTCCGCCATTAAAGCCCTGGGGGCCGTACAGATCGGCCTGGGTGTCACGTGTCTGGTCCTGGGGCTGCTGGATATATTCCTGTATCTCTTCCTTGACGACGAGTTGGTAATGGCGGGAGATACCACGCTGATGACGCTAACAATAACCTCCTCCCCGATCTGGTGCGGCCTCTGGGTAAGAAAGTTTTGTGCCTAAATTTTATTTGATACTTTTCTATGGCAAAAGAATGCTAAAGATAATAGGAGATATTTTATGTTAGAATCGATAACAGATTTCAAAATATGCTATACAACCAACACCTTATTAACTTTGAATAATTTGTATATGCTTCTCAGAGAATAAAATCTTTCTTGCAGTTCAGCGTTGCTGGTTGTATGGCAGCTTGTATGAATAAAAGAAATAAGTCCAATTTAAACTATTTTGTAAGTATTTGTAAGATACATTTTATGCATATTTTGGTTCATCAAATTTTATTTAATTTAAACAACTAAATCCTACAACTGGTTGTTTATATATTTGTATGATATGTGTATTCCCTTTATTTGATGCAAAGAAATTGGAATTTCTAGTCTCTGTCTCCCGATTATGCAAGATTGTATGATAAGCAACCTGAATGGGCTTCAAATTGCATGAAGTGAACATTATCGAAATTACTTTCGAAATTGCACAACATATCCATATCGATCTCGTTTAAATTCCTACCAAACTCCAGAGATAAATTTCTGCAGGTTTTATTAAATTTAGCTTTATTGCTATAACAATCTCGTTCTTGTTTCCACAGAGATCATCCTAAATCTATTCCACTTTATCAGGTGTGACAAATTACAACGTCTTTGAACGGTTTCCTTAAATGAGAAAATTCTATCATAGCAATTCCTTTTTCATTTTGAATTGTCCAGTTGCATTTAATAAAATTTGATAGCATTGTTTATGCTCAAATCTTGACTGTTTCCTGCAATAAATAGGTCTGTCAGTTTAGTATAAGATCACTACATATTATTTGGGAATTTTTCTTTTATAGGAAATATTGTGTTTATCAATGAAATATAGGGTTATTTAAAAAACCTTATGCATATAAAAGGCAGTTTTTTCTTGCAATGGTTGAAAAACACATGTTTAAAATAAAGATAAAACAGGTTTTGTGGTGACACTGTCCTCAGTTAACGAGTTAAATGTTGGAATTAGAGTACAATTGACCGTTACAAGTAACTTTAAATTGATTTCCAATCATATTCATGCTACTAAAAGATTATATGTAATCCTAGTAAAACCCGCTGACGCCTCAAAGGGGATAAAATTATTTACAAACTCCAGTGTAAAACATCAGATATGGCAGAAATATGCTTACATTGTACGTACTTTATAACTGATTCAGCAAACACCCGTATTAAAAGCGGCAAAGCTGGTAAATATGAAATGTATTTTATTTCCAGAAAATGACGTTTTTGGTGCTTAGCATCCTTTGTTCCGCGTTGTTTGCCCCTGTGTGTTGTATCCTTAATATCGTTATGGCCATCCTGGTAAGAATTAAATCATGTCGCAATATCAGAATTATACAAAAAACTGTGGGCCAATACAAAAATACTAGTAATGTATAATAGACGAGTAAACATTTCTCTCTACATGTATTTTAATAGTGATTGAACATAAGGATTTATTTTTAAATACATATTCACAGTAGAATCTTTTTTAGGCTTTAAATTTGTCTCTTTTCTGATTTTAGCGTCACGAATTAGAGCCTGATTCCTATCGCTGGATGGTGCCTATTCTTATTGCTTTCTTTTCCTTCAATGAGCTGATCTTCGCCATTGCTTCTGCTTCCATTTGTTGCTGCTGCGCTCCAATCAGGACCACACAGGCAAGTATATAAGTCCCCTCCTTGAAAAACCCTCATAACATCAAAAGGGCATAGCAGGTACAAAGCAAACATGAAAAAGTATACAAGTTAATTTTGGGCATACATGGTTACTCAAACAAATGTCAACTCTAAGTGTTACCACATAAAACAAATATACACGTCAACTGCTACCGCAGGAACAATTAAGAATACAAGTTTCAAATGTTGCCACATGTATTCATATGAAGCAGAGTTTGTCCAAAATCTTATGCATGAAAAGAAGAAAACACTTGCTGTGGCCTTCAACTCGGCATATAGATATATCGACGACGTATTGTCAATAAACAATGGTAATTTCCATTATTATGTCGATAAGATATATCCTGGTGAGCTTGAGATAAAAGATACCACAGTGTCTGACATATCTTTTTCATATTTTACTTTAAAAAGGCGCCAATGGTAATCTAACAACCAAGCTCTATGATAAACGTGATGATTTTAACTTTTTAATTGTCAGCTTCCCTTACTTATATGGAGCAATGTACCTTCATCACCTGCATACAGAGTTTATATATCTCAGTTAATTCGATACGCAAGAGCATGATCTACGTATGAACACTTTCTAAAACGAGGTAAATTATTGACAAACAAGTTTATGAAACAAGAATATCAGCAGTCTTGTTTAAAGTCATCATTTCATCATGGTCGATACAATGACCTTGACAGCAAATACAGTTTGTCATTGAGTCAAATGCTGACTGACGTTTTTCATACTAATTATCAGTTCATTTTTATACACTGAATTGAGGACGGATTTTCCTGTTATTTCCCATCATGACAAGGAGCACAGGTGTGACCGGTCAGCAGGGGATGCTCACTCCTCCATGACACCTGATTCCACCTCTGATGTTTTGGAGGTCGGTGTTTGCTCTGCTCCTATTTTGTAATGTTTTTTTGATCATGAATACTGTTCGTTATCTCCATATTTTTCATAAATAAGTATACAAGTTTTTGTTACGACAAAAAACAAGTAAAAATTTTAGGTTTACAACGAGTGTACACGTCAAGTGTAACCACATTTAAAGAATTATACACACCAACTGTTACCACCCAAATACGAATATGTGTTAATTGTAATCACCTAAACAAGCATACACTTAAACTTTAACCATATCTACAAGTATAATGTTAACTGTAACCAGGCAGGCAATTATACACTTCCATAACTACCATACAGACAACTACATTACTGAAATTAAATACCGTTCGTTATCTCCATATCCTTCATCAGCTTTAATCATACACGATACTACACTTAAGCTGATATATCACGGGCTGAACTTGCACGTCAGCTAATATCACACTAGCTACTGATACATAACATCAATACAACATATAATAAAATACATGTATTATACAGTTAAAGTATATCGTTGAGGAACTTAGCAAGATTCCAGTTCCCCAAGTCCAGGACTTTCCCGGAAATAGACCTGGTCGAGAGGAACTGGAATCTTGCTAACTCCCTCAATGATAGCCTTTTTAACTGCTTTATTATACCGATACATAAGTAAAAAAAAGAGAATTTCAAAAGTCGGGGGAAAAGATTTTCAGAGCGGGGATTAGCTCACTTGGCTAAAGCACGGGGATTAGTCCATTAACATATTATACCGATAAAAAAGTAAAATCTAGAGAATACAGATAATTGGGAATTAGCTTCCAAAGCAGGGATTAGCTCATATGACTAGCGCAAGGGGATTAATTCATTTACAGTGATTTCAAGGGAATTATTCTCACTTACTACCTAATTTTTATATAGGAAAAAAATCAGTAGAGGTATAATAAATGGGATAACGAATATTATTAAAGTCCATTCAAACAATCGGGAGCAGACTAACAGACTCAATGGTATCACAAGTTTGGCTTTCCAGAAAGCCTGAAATGTCATCTCTTTGGTATCAATAATGTCAAAGAAATAAAACAGAAAGGGGGATATTTTAATGCAATGAATATATGGATTATTACACCTGAAGTTCCCAAATGACTTATTCAGCAAACTCCACAGTAAAGTACGCAGTTTCTTTTGGCCGCACTATATATATGGAAAGCATGGACGTCTGCGAGAGCACCCAAGGCGATTTTTGGTGAATTTCATTTTAGCGGTCTTTGTGGTTCTGGGTGTTTACAATTTACTTAAGGACAGATGATACAAACAAATTTTTTCTTTGAAAAAGATTTAATATCATGTCACAAGTTTAGAAAAGTGGATGGTTCTTATAATTTTTTTCTCTGAAGAACTGGAAAATGAAATAGTCTTGGAAAATATTAGTAATATTTCAATAAAAAAACAAATATAGACAAATCACATTCAGTAAAGGTTTACAGGTGGAAATAAATTTCAGAATATGTTATCTTGGCGCTAAAAGTGTAAAATAAACATTAGAAAAATATACCAAGCCAGGTGAATTTTAAGAGGAAGATCAAAATGACAAAATATTAGCAATATCACATAGGCTGATTTTTACCATTCAGCTTTTCCTAGTAAAATTCACCTGGCTTGGTATATTTTTCTTAACTTTATATTACACTTTTAGCACCAAAATAACATATTTTGAAAAGTATTGTCACCTGTTAACCTTTACTGAATGTGATTTGTCTATATTTGTTTTTTCATTGAAATATTACTAATATTTTCCAAGTCTTTTTCATATTTCAGTTCTTAGGAGAAAAAATTCTAAGAACCATCCACATTTCTAAACTTGTGATATGATATTAAATCTTTTTCAAAGAAAAAATTTGTTTGTATCATCTGTCCTTAAATTTAAATACTTTCCTTGAACTATATTTTCTTAATACGGAATTATCAACAATAATTATCAATCATTTAAAAGCAGCTAATCATTAAAGTTTGACAGGAATTAATTTAATAAACCCAATTACAGACTAAAAAATTAACATAAAATTAGCGTTGACCACTCTTCGTTCATTTTTTGCAGAATCTAATCAGTTTTCCCTTCCCGTCAACAAATCTATATATAGAAATCACGTCATTCTCAATTCTCCTTGTGTGGCTTACCCATTTAAAAAGGCATAGTACTGAGGATCAATATATATACGACACACCGAAACTATAGATATTTATAAGCATCGTACTTCTTTTCTGAATTTTCCTTGGCTTTCAAATAGGCCTAAACCGAAAGTAGATCACACACTCCTAAGCTAGTTCTTCTAAAAGAAAACCAGTTTACAAGCTACTTGGAACTCTGTAAAACATCGAGGACTCCCGAAAGATTAATGGAGGCTTACACTAGGACTTCACTTCCGGCATACAATCTTAATGTGTCATCTCCCGAGGGAGATGACAATTAATTTCAAACTCGCTTAATGTCATCACATATCACATGTTATTGCTATCTGTCAGATGTCAATACAAACTGATTCATCCCCTGTTGACTGGTCACACCCGCCGTAAGTCCTATGTATCAACCGAGTAGACGGAACATTCCTTATAGTCATATTTAGTACAAAAACAAAAGTTTAACAAGTGATATGATACAGGTCAGCCGAAATACGACCCAATGATAGATTATATTACTAACAAAGTCAATATCGACTATAGATTTCACTGAATGCCGACTTTAAACGAGATTGTTGAAATCTCTGTAACATCAACTTATCTATCAGTAGCCATACAGAATTTGACTGCAGCAATAAGGATGAAAATTTTTGCAAGTTAAGAACTTAATGGAATCAATTAGTTACTTTTACTCATTTTCATTCACTTTTTTATTAGTTTGAAGATTTATAATTTATATTCTTACAAACTCCAACTATGTCCTTTTATTTTACAACAGATTCGAGTCGTAATGGCCAGACAAGTCACGGACGCTAAGATGAATTCAGTCGGGGCTTCAGGAAGAGAAAAGAGCAGCGACTCCTTGGAAATATTTACCACTACAGATCGGCATGGAAATCCACTAAAACCGCCCTTACCGAAGGACAAAAAAGAGGAACTTCACCCAGCAGATCCCCCAAACGTCGTCAACCCCCCAAAAATCTCCAACAAAAAGCCGCCAGACGAGAACGACTATCGACCAATTACCAAGGAGTCCAGCTACGAGAAGATGAAGAGGCTGGTGTTACCTAGCGCCTCCATGCCGCGAACTGAGGAGATAGAGCCCAGAGAGCAGTTCTGACAATGTACTCTAAGAGTCATTTATTTAATATTTATATTTGTATTTAATTTATTATCTTCAGAGATTTACTTGATGTACAAGAAATACTGCTTCTGTGTCCCTTTAGCATAAAGTGCTTATACATTTACAGTGTCATACTTTGGGTAGTTAACCAAGATATGTAAACATGAGTGAAGCCAGACATCCATTTACACATAAAAGCAGGTGTATTTTTACTGAAAAAAATGCATATGTGATTTATTTAATATACATGTACTAGTATTAGATAAAAAAAATTCCCAGAAGTTGTCCATTTAATTGTCTCTCAATTGTAAAATAATGCATATATTAATTAATTGAGATCTGAATATGTGCCCATCCGTGTTATTTGATAACTTATGCATGTTTACAATGACCATACTACTCATACTACTGCAGTCCTGCATGAAATAAAATTTTGATAATCTATTACTTCTTAATATGACCATAGAATTTATGGAATGCCAAACTGGAGTACAATTTTTCTTATACCCCATTGAAAAAAGATGGATGTTGCTATTTACTGTATGGCGTCTCAGCAGAGTAAAGTACGATTGGAAATCTTTTTGGTGTTTGAACATCAACAGTATATCAAATTTGCGAGGTCATTATGAAGTTTCTGCTTGAATATTATATGTTTTTCCAGGATAATGAAATGGGAAATCGGTTTTTAAAAAATTCAAACAAAACAAATATGTGAATAGGAAATAAGCACGAATCCCATAGAAATGCGTGGGATCAGGTGACAAGGATCGAGAATACTTAAAAATGCTTAATTGCAACATGCTTGTTGAAATTCCTGTAGCATGAATTTATATATCAGTAGCTTGCCTTGGTTTAAAAACAAAGAAAGGTAGAAGAAAGTCAGTCGTCTAAAATGGTACTGGGTGATTGATAAAATGCTTATTGCTATCAAAGCTTCGGAGCATTCCCATAAAGACAACTCGAATAGTAAGGGTTTACTTATTAGTCCTGAAGGGCACATGTTTGCGCGATCAGAGTTATACTTTTATAATTTAGAGGCATAAACATAGGTTTGCCAGAAAGGATGCAAGTTCGCACGTTTTTGCAAATTCAAATTTATCTCAGAAGAGACTGGAGATATAGTGTGGATCCCTGTTTTGAGAGTTGAAAACGCCATTTGTGGAAAGAACTATACTAAAATAACCCGGCGTATCCTTTAAAGACTTTAAAGCAGTACCCTTATAAATCTCAAATTACTTTCATTTGTCCTTGAAGGTGAGCTAAAAATCATAACAAACTAAGTTACATGGCGGATTCCAAATAAATGTTCTACATAGCCTCTTTTTTACTCCTCACCAAAACATTAACAGTAGTGAAGTAGAGTACTCTGTAACAACATATTAGGGAAGTGGTGTAAATCAGATGTGAATACCAAAAATTTCAAGAACATTTGGAAAATTTGAAACACGAATTAGGCCATCTTTTAAATAATGTTCCCTTGCCCTCTCGCGACTCAGGATAAAATTTGGTCAGTATATAGGAGAGAATTTTTTTCCCAGTTATTTCAACCATTTGTTGACGTGATTAGAGGAAAAAAAAATATCGTGCCCTGAATGCAAAGAGAAGCTTTGAGTCGGGCCATTTTAGTCTGTCGGTCGGGAGAGGGCTACCAAGGTGGTCTTGAAATCATTGATTAACAATAAATCAAATTTAAAGACCAGGCATTTTGAGATCAGTCACAGCTGCTTTTTCAATAAATATGGAGCTCGTAAATTTACTCACATTGTCATTTGCAAAATTATTTTGTTAAAAAACATTCTGATTGTACATAAAAGTACTCTGAAGTTGATATTTAAAAAATTCTTGAGTTTCTGACTAACAATATCTATGTGGTTTTTGGAGACCGGGTTTTCCAACAGTCTGCTGAAATTTCCATGGGTACCAATTTCTATGAAACAGAATTTGTTCAAAATCTTTTGTGCGAAAGGAAGAAAACATTTGCTGTGGTCTTCAACTCGATTTTGAGATACATCGACGACGTATTGATTATTTCCATTCGTTCGAGGGCTGTTCTATGAATAATGTCCTGATCTGTATGACATACAATACAGATATCATATGACATTAAAATTGGTTTTTTCGCATTTTTGAATCTTTATTGAAGAAATACGCACGCTAACACTCGTTTCCCGCCTACATTTTGGAACCATTTATTTCAATATGAATAGCAAATTGGCCATAAAATCTTTGTTTAATACAAAGAACAGTTCAATGGTAATTGATGAATTGTCTGAATACCAGCGCTTAACAGTAAATTATCCATAATTCCAGCTCTTGAAAAAAGGGGGATAGACAATATTTTCCATTGAAATCGGAGTTTCAAGCATCACCATATTTTGAAATAGTCTTGGATATGATTAAATGTTCCTTGTATCTTTTCTTATGTTTTAGGCAAATAAATAAAACATAAATATATCAATAAAATATAACGTTGCAGTTGTAAATAGCTTTGAAATTGGTGGAAAATAAGCATTTTTATCGTTTTTTGTCAATAGACATATGTCCCCCCCCCCCCCCCCCCCCCCCCCGCGCATATCACACAAAAAGCTTTGGTATGAATTTGTGAAATAACATTAAAAATTCATCGAATATGTTAACTTCTGAAAATTGACTTGGAGGTAGGCGGGAGAACAATACTATTGTTCGCAGTTCTTTATAACATGTACAATTTATGTGACCACTTTTCATCACACAGTTTCATTGTAAGAAGCTGGAAAACAAGGGCTATTCGAAACACTGCTTTAAAAATGAATGGTAAAGAATCAGTAAACTAGAGTGAAATTGAACGCTTCATTAAAGCTGTGGTAAAACTCGTTAAGAATCCCAAATGTATATTCACTGAAATAAGTATCGTTGTCGGCCACCAATGTCTGTTTTATTGACAAATGAGCAGGGGAATTTCAGTGCTAAAAAATTATATAATGGGCATCAAAAATGAGCAGCGTCCTTGCCAACAAAAATATAACAACTAATGTACTTTTTGCCAAAGATGATGGAGGATAAGGCGGACAGAATGCCTATAGCGTCAGATATTTAAGCAATCACATTTGATATTTACGGAAGCCTGTTGAGGCCAGTTCAGAGAAAAAATATTTTTAATTGCGTTTAAACACAATTATTATTGCGTTTAATCGCAAAGCTTTGCGTTTAATTGCAATAATTATGCGTTTAAACGCAAACATTTGCGTTTAATCGCAATAATCATTGCGTTTAAACGCAAAACACTTTGCGTTAAATCGCAATCTTTTGCAATAAAACGCAATAATTGCGTTTAAACGCAATAATATTTTTGCGTTTAATCGTAATAATAATTGCATTTAATCGCAATAATTTTTGCTTTCAATCGCAATAATTTTTGCGTTTAAACGCAATAATATTGCGATTAAACGCAATAATTATTGCGTTTAATGGCAATAATTTTTTGCGTTTAATCGCAATATTTTTTTGCGTTTAATTGCAATAATTATATGCATTTAAATGCAATACTCTTTGCATTTTATCGCAATTATCCTTACATTTAAGGATTTATTTTGAATTTAAACACAATGATTCAGTGCTGTAGTTTGAAATCAAACATCGGCTAGCCAAAAATTATTATGAATACTACGGTTTGATTCTTTAAAGAAGAACCGACTGGTTCTGTGTCTTGTTGCTAAATGTTGCAGTTTGTGAGATTTGAAGTTTACCAATGGCATCCTAAGTAAACAACCAAAGTTTCTTAAACCTTTTAGAATCCAACCCTTTTTTTTAACGCATTAATCAATTCCGTAGGTATCACAGCAAATTAAGAATGTTTCAGTGGTATTAATAGCCATATCAATTTGGTGGTACACATCGATCAATCTGTTTTCATTTGATTTATTTTTGATTTCATATGATTCCATCTCCTAAATTATCGTGTTCTCGTGTTTACTGTATGTGATCAAAGGAAAGGTTGTGAATATACATCTACATGTACATATACATAAGTCTAAACATTTCATCAGTCGTTTCCTTAAGCCCTTTATAAAGGTACATGATGTAAACTTTGTGACCGCAACGTGGAGTGATATTTTATCCATCATTATTTCTTTTCTAGTCTTTTATTTCGAAATTCCTTTAAAATTGTTTGCATAGTTTTGCATGCTAAAGCTTTGTTTCTTTCTAAGGTTGTCTTTGTTTTAACAGACCGACACTTCTTTCTCTTCTTTAAGTCCTTACCATGATTTAACCATTCAGAAAATGCTTGTTCAGAGGAATCTGATTCTATAAAGCTTAACAATACACAATTCTCCTTTTAGATTAATGTACAAAAGAAAAAAGATTGATTGATTGATTGATTGTATACTGTTTAACGTCCCTCTCCAGAATTTTTCACTGATATGGAGACGTAACCATTGCCGGTGAAGGGCTGCAAATTTGGGCCTATGCTCGGCACTTACGGCCCATGAGCAGGGAGGGATCTTTATCGTACCACACCTGCTGTGACACGCAGGTACGGGGCCTCGGTTTATACAGTCTCATCCGAAGGACCGCCCCATTTAGTCATCTTTTACGACAAGCAAGGGGGTACTGAGGACCTATTCTTACCCGGATCCCCACGGGGCAAAAAAAAAAAACAACAAATATTAGCGTGGATCCATTGCACTCTTCAGAGATCAATAGAAATGATTGCTTTTAAATACAAAGATTATCATTGCGTATAAATGCAAAAAAAAATTATTGCGTTTAATGGCAATATTATTGCATTTAAACGCAATATTAACACAATAATTATTGCGTTTAATCGCAAAAGCATTGCGTTTAATCGCAATATTATTGCGTTTAAACGCAAACATTATTACGATTACACGCAATAATTATTGCGATTAAACGCAAAAATATTATCTTTTGCGATTAAACGCAAAGTGTTTTGCGTTTAAACGCAATGATTTTTGTGACTAAACGCAAATTTTTGCGTTTAAACGCAATAACTATTGCGATTAAAAGCAAAGTTTTGCGATTAATCGCAATAAAAAATATTTCTTTCCCTGGACTGGCCTCAACGGGCTTCCGTAGATATTTAAATTGGTTATTTAAATTTACTTCTCATTATTGAAATTTATGAAATTATGAGAAAAAAAAAACATTTTCCGAGAGAAAATAAATCTCTTCAAAAAATTTCATTTATAAAAATATTAGATGGTATACGTGGGAATCGAACCCCAGCAACAAAATACCGAAGTATCATACTGCTTTGAGACTATCGCGCTAACAACTATGCTACATAGCGCATGATGATTAATGGCTTAAATCATGTTTGTAATATGACCCTTGACTTAATGGACTTGAAGTATTTATCGGAAAGATGCGAATGTTTTGTCATAAAAGTGTACTTTTAAGGTATAGTGGGTCTTCGCTCCATTTTTTTGTAAACCAAAAAATATTTATTTTATTACAAACTTTTAGGATTATCTTTCAAAAAACGGAGCGAACACCCACTCATATTAAAAATTTTTGTTACAGTATGAAAAAATGATCGTTTTTGTTCTTTTGGCAAATAATTTCAGTCTCTGTGAGATTTTTGTAAATTATAGAGATTTTACATTAACTATACTTTAATATTAGATGAAATAAAATTAGGATATAATTGAGATTAAATTTTTCACTTCTTATCTGTAGCGCTATAGGCATTCTGTCCGCCTTAAAAGGTCGTTTTTCCGCTAGTCGGAAAGGCCCAAGAAGTTGCGATTGGGGGTACCCCATATCTGCATATTCGAATCGCCTGTGGATCGGGATCGATATTCGTAATTTGTTCTTTTAACAAACCGAAAGTAGAAATCTAAACGAAGTAAAGCAGGAAAATCCAATCGATCAATGTTCTTTTTATTTGGAGCATTGACAGTTTAAGTTTAAGTTTATCCAGGGAACATAAAACCCTAAGTCAAGAAAAAGTCGGCCATCACTTTCTTCACACAAATTTGTGTCTAGAAGCTTTAATTTGCAACATGTCTGCTGCGACTCCAGAAGCTATTGATCTACAACAAAAAGAAAGAGAGATAAAGTTGCTCGAGGAACGTTTAGAGGAATACTTTGTTCCAAAGAATGTTGCCATCATAGGGCCATCGGGTGTCGGCAAATCGTCATTCGTTAACTCTATCATAGCCAGTTTTTCCTCCAAGTGCTGGCGAGAGCGGACCAAAGTCGCGTGCATCGGTGGGGAAGCGATGCAAGGAACGTGTCATCTTATCAAGTATGTGTTCGGAATCGATTACATTAGTTTCAATATCGTTGAAAATCCTCTTGGTACATATTGTCATGATTTCTTTAAAACATCTTCAATTGAAAGTAATTAAAAATGCATGTTCAACTATTACCTAAACAGCATCATTTATATGGTTAAGGGAAAAATACTTGTAAGCATGGTAAGTAAGTTGATTTTCTTCTTATGAAAAGGAGGTGGGTAGAAAATACCAAGTTACAACAAATATACCAAAACTTTTTTTTTAACTGATCACTGTATTATTTCTACTAGTTTAAGATTAGAGAAGCCATATTTAAAACTCCAGAATGATCTTGAAGAAAATTGTAACCCTATTGGTGGTAATTTCTTGTGGTCAGAAGACTGTAAAAACAAATATATCCAAGCCTTAGTTGAACCAGAATCAACAACTAGTATTATGAATCTTTATACAGACTTGGATGATGAAAATTACTCAGATATTGATGCATTAGTCCAAAAACTAACAACAATTTATACTGAAGCAGGTTTCAAAACTGTGAATTTTAGAGGATATAACAAAAGAAATTATAGACGTACAAAACATATCAAACCTAAGAAAGAATGGATGTCAAATAACTGCTTAATGCTGAGAAGGGAGGTTAGAAATCTTGGTAAAAAACTTCAAAAATCACCAAATAATTATTATTTACTTCAAGCATTTTCACAAGCTAAAAAACAATTCCATAAAATGTGTAAGCAATTAAAATCTGGTTTCTATAAAACTGTAGCTAACACTATTAATGAACTGAACCCAAAATGTACAAAAAAATTTTGGAATTCTTTAAAGTCAAACATGCAAAATCAGGTTGAGGCAGAGTCACCCATTAAAATATCTCAATGGGTTGACCATTTTCATACTCTATTAAATTCTAACGAACATGGCATAGGTTTGGATATTAATTGTGAAGTTGACAAAAACAAACCCCTAGACTTTCTATTTACACCTAAAGAAGTGCAAATAGGAATATCGAGCTTGAAATCTGGAAAAAGCTCTGGTTTAGATCTTATTCCAAACGAATTTATTAAAATTAGTTCTAATATTTTCATGCCTATACTGGTTAAACTTTTTAATAAAATTCTTCAGAATGGCAGAATGCCAGAATTATGGAACCTCTCTTTAATCACAACTTTGTATAAATCTGGAGATCCAGGAAATTGCAATAATTATAGAGGATTAAGTGTAACAAGTTGCCTCGGTAAACTTTTTAATAGACTCCTTCTAACCCGACTTAATAATTATTTAGAATCAGAAGGGTTGTTAAGTTGTTTTCAGGCAGGATTTCGGAAAGGATATCGTACAACAGGTAATGTTTTCATCCTCAAAACTTTAATGAACAAGTACCTGTTTAATAAAAAGAAAGAATTATTTTTGTGCTTTGTTGATTTCTCCAAAGCTTTTGATACTGTATATAGACCAGCTCTTATGTATAAGATTTTAAAAAAAGGTATTGGTGGAAATTTTTTCAATATTATAAAACATATGTACTCTACTACAAAATGTGCTGTAAGACAGGGAAATTATTATAGTGAGTTTTTTGATACTACATTAGGAGTTAAACAAGGGGACAATTTAAGTCCTACTTTATTTAATATTTTTGTTGACGACTTTGAAAATTATTTTGATAAAGTTATGACTTACCCTGTATGTTTAGGTGATTTAACTTTTAATCACTTATTTTTTGCTGATGATCTTGTTTTATTATCAGAGTCAGCTGAAGGTCTCCAAAGTTGTATTGACAGTATTTCAAGATATTGTATAGAATGGAAGTTGCATGTAAACTTAGAAAAAACAAAGGTTATGATTTGCTCTACCAGAAAAATAAAGAAATATTATGCATTTTATTATAACAATAATAATATAAGTATTACTGATAAGTACAAATATCTTGGTATATTTTTACAATCAAATGGCAATTTAAAACATGCTTGTGATGACCTTGCTGCCAGAGCCCGAAAAGCTTATTTTGCCTTAAAGCATAAACTACCCTTTGGCTCAAATCTCTCTCCCAGCTTGTGGTTAAAGCTATATGAATCAATTATTGTTCCAATTTTAACATACTCTTCAGAAATTTGGATCTCTGATTTTAATACAAATCCCAATAATTTTGATAAAACTCCTTTTGAAAAAATCCAAAATTTTATCTTAAAAAACATCTTAGGTGTCCATAATAAAGCATCAAATTTAGCAACTAAAATTGAATTAGGTGTTTTCCCTGTATATACCAAAATTTACCAGCTTGTTTTTAAATATTATTCCAGATTGGAAAAGTTAACAAAAACAAATAATAATTGCAATGTCTTACTCAAGAATGCTTACTTGGAAGATACTCGATTGGCCAGTGAAAATAAAAAATGTTGGCAAAGTTGTATAAAATCAATACAGAAGATGTTAGATTTTAACTTTGACACAGATTTTAAAACTTTTAGTCCTAAACTTAAAAATTTCTTTGAAAATAAATTTTTTTCTGAACTCCAACACATTAACAATACTCAATGCGGTAAGCTGTCATTTTATAGTACATTATTCAACTATGATGCTAAGATTAAGAAACTGGAAATCCAACCATACTTGTGTTTTCCACTTCATAAGAATTTACATTGTATTATCTTATCTTTCCAAGTTAAGAATAAGTGCACATAAGTTGTACGTAGAAACAGGTAGATACTGTAATCCTGTCATTCCTAGAGAAAATAGATTTTGTTTCCAATGTAAAACTATTGTTGAAGATGAAAAACATTTTTTACTTGATTGTCCTGTGTATAAAAATGTCAGAAAAAAGTATTCAAGGTTACTAGATGTTAATAACTTATCTTGTTTGCTTAATCCACATAACTTTATATCTACGAAACAAATCTGTTTATATATCAGAGACTGTTTTGATATTAGAAACAAGCTTTTACAATAGTATAATATTTTGCAATACATGTATATGGCTAACAACACATTTCTGTATATAAATATGTGCTTTAGTGCCAATAAAGAATTGAATTAATTAACTATTTTTTTTATCTAAAAGGACAGCAAAAGATGAGTACTTGGACTCAGCAAGACAGAAGGAATATCCGTACCCGACACTGATTGACATGAATGGATTTGAAAACCAATCCACGGCGGATATAAAAGAACTGCTCAGATACATTTTGTTTGGCTTGATTCCACATGAACACAAGTTAAGAGATGCTTTGAAAATATACTCGTAAGTTTTTATCTAAACGCCAGATTACTATGTAGAATAAGATGAAAGAACTATATGCGGTATATTGCATATCTTTGCCCCCACAAAAGTCAAATTTTGAAAAATTCTTGAAAAGTACTGAATTCCAGAAATTTTATGAGAAATATAAATTAACAGAACATATTATAGTTTCAATGTAGTTTATTGACAATTTTTGTTTTTATGACATCACAAACTAGTCCGACCTTAAATCAATTTTTAGAAAGAGGACATAATGGACAAAATTTCAACAATTTTAGCTTTAAAAATTATAGAGCACAAGTTTGCTCAGGAACAATATTCACATATTTCATTGATATTATTCTACACATTATATTAAAATATTGAGCCTGATCAGATCTGTGCTCAGTGACTTTTACTAAAAATATTGACGTAAGGAATAAAGTCCTTTATCAACACTGAATAAAGACCAAGAATGGCAAAGTCCATGTTTTGCTATGGGAAACCCTTAATAAGTCTATGATTGAAATAAAAATTTAATATAAGTAGATCATGCACTATAAATGATCAATTAATTCTTGAAACTCTGCTCTTTGAAATAAGGGGTAAAACTATATCCTATGCAACTTACATAAAAAGAAAAAGGAAAATAAGGAGAAAGAATTACAACTGTAATAGAAGATATCAGGATATTGGAAGAAAATGTTTGTGAAAATAATATTGATGAATTATGTAGTAAAAAGCATGAATTGGAAAAAAATTCAAAAACATAAGTTACAAGGTTCATATATCAGAAGTAGAGCAACATGGGTTGAAGAAGGTGAAAAACCATCAAATTACTTTTGTTCATCAGAATCTAGAAACTTTACTTGTAAGATCATAACAAGATTAGAAGATAATTATGAAAATGTTATTTATGACCAAACAGAAATTTTAGAGAAGCAAAATGTTTTTATGAAGTGTACTTATTTGTGCAATCAGAATCTGTTTAAACAAAATAATTTTGCAAATGACCAATGATGAGGTAAGTAAACTTACGAGTTCCATTTTTATTGAAGAAGCAGCTGTCAATATCAAAAAGCCTGGATTTTAATTTGTCATTGGGAATTGTTGTGTATAAAGTTGAAAAGTCGTAAGTTTTTAAGCTGTTGATTTTTGTAAAGTCTTGTGATTTCAAATTGTCGAAAAGTTATTTAGAATTTTTTAGTATCCACATCTGATTCACACCACTTCTTGAATATATAGTTGCACAGTACTCTTGAAGTTTTTCCTTCACTACTGTCACTATCTTAGTGAGGAGTAACGAAAGAGGCTTGGTTGAACATTTACTGGAACCTATCTTTGTTTGTAAGGATTCGAAAGAAGTTTCGGAATCCAATATATATAAGGTAGTTCAAATTCATTTTGGCTCTGTGGAATAAACGCTATTTAGATAAGATAATTAATGAAGATCAAACAGTCTTCACCTCCAATACATATGAAAAAACACCAGGTTAATTTATGACATAATGCATTACACTGAGGAAGAAAATATACCTGGATTTTTACTACTTATTGATTTTGAAAAAGCTTCTGATACACTTTCATGGAGCTTTATACAAGGCACACTCAACTTTTTTAACTTTGGTCCCTCAATTAAGAAGTGGGTATCCCTTTTTAATACAGATATTGCATCTGCAATAAACCAAGGTGGTAATCTCTCTGATAGAATTAACATTTAGAGGGGCTGCAGTCAAGGTGATCCTTTGTCACCATATATATTTATTATATGTGCAGAAATTTTAGCAATCCAAATTAGAATGCGAAAATAAAACGTGGGCAAAAATTTCCCTGTATACTATACAGTATTGGATATAAGCACACAATCTTACTCAATTGCAGAGTCCTTTGAAAATTAATGATGAGTATTTTGACTTTCTTTCAGAGATAAAGGGCTAGAAGGAATGAAGGGTGAATATTACAAGAATGAGGAGGCACTAAAAGTTGACTGCCTGATTTTTGTTACTTCGACAACTACAGTTCTTCCACAAAATCTTATGGATGCTGTGGTTCAGGTGGCACAGAAAGAGGAAAGAGGTAAAGGCTGATGAGATATTATGAGGTGTTCAAAATCTCTCAGTAAAGAAAACAAAATAAAACAAAATAGCATCCCTGAAACCAAATTGCCTTAAGGTAATATTCAGAATTTCTGGTACATTCAGTGTATTTAGTTTACCTGAGTAAGGATTGAAAATCGTATTCTTGGTGAATTAACAGATTAATGTCTAACCACTTGTTTCATTCCTCATGGTTTATCCTAAACTTTAAACAATGTAATATGCATCATCTGGACAATTACTTTGGAACACTTGATGTCCACATAGTAAAAGTTTTTGCTAAATGTTAACTCTGTTAAATGTTATTTGCAGTCATTCCATTATTTGGTGTGCTAACACAGAAAGACAAAATACATGATGAAGAAGCATACTTGACAAAGAAGAAAGATTTTTGTTCAAAGCTTGGCCTTCCAGAGAACCGCTTCCTTCTGTGTACAAACTATTGTGATGACTATGATAAAGAAACAGGGCATTCTCGTTGGAATCAAGTGTACCCTGCACTAGATGTACCAATTCTGTCTTTTATGAGACAGGTAATATAATGTTAAGGCCTTATTTTATCGTTAAAATTCTTTTTTTCCAAGCACTGTCAATCAGATGTAAGTATGCAATGCAAAAATTAAGTATTGTTTAAAATTTCTAGGTTTGTGATGTTGGAATTAAAGTTCTACAAAACCATGCCACACTTCGCAAAGGTCCCTCTACCACTCCCCAGTCTCAGCAGGATCCACCCCGTGATGCTGACCTCCCACTGAGAGACCCTCCCCCACATGTAGACAACTCCGTCATCAATGTCCTGGCCTTCGCTTGTAAGGGTTTGGTCATCGCTGTACTCCTATATTGGATCCTTACTCCGCCTTTTGATGGGCAGCAGATGGTCGATGCCTGTGCTCAGTTTGAACACAAATCTCAGACACTGAATTTCTCCATTCCTGGAATAAAGAACCTGTGTGACAGGATTGGAGATATAACACAGAGACAACTCATGACTCCACTGATGTCTTTTGTGGTGGTTATTATTGGAATAGATTTTGTGATGCCTCAGATTATCAGAATGTTACATAGGCTTGGAATTTAACTGTACAGACTTGTTGTGGGAATCAAAGTGTTGTGACTTGTGCAAATACTTGGTGAGATTTTGAATAAATTGGGGTGTGGCAGCAATAAAAATTGCTTATTCTAGTAAGATTATTAATGTAATTTTCAATTTTTAAGAAAGTATTAATTGTAATGTACATGTATATTAAGAATTGTTTATTATATCAAGATTAACATATATTTCTACATGTATAGTTTCATTCCTTTAAAATATTAATACTCAGTGACCTAGAATGAAAAGGTTGTCTTGTTTGTTTTCTGACAAATTAAAAAAAAAGAGAATCAATCTCATGTCTTTCTTTTATTGATTATTTTTTTTCAAAAAACTTATAGATATATGGATTATAAGGATTTTATAGGTATATTTCATTCTAATCAACACAAATGTCAATTTGCTTGGTGTGTTTATTGAGTGGGTACATGCATTTTATAAAATGATGTGTTGTTTCAAAATTTGATAACTATTTTTAAACAACAAACAAACAAATTACCAAAAACAAAAAAAAAAAAAACAAAAAAACAACTAAAATGGTCTGTGATATGATAAGAGATATGCACCACATTATTATAATGTATATTTGTTTTATTTCAAAAATGGAATTCCTTTTTGTATCCTACAGTTTGTTTAGAAGTAATAAACTTGTTATTTACTATTTGCTTAGTTGTATGCATGTTTTCATTTGAATGCTGCATCTGATGATTTCATTGAGTAACTTTTGAATCTGTAGAGGAGGTGAAGTAATTTTTCGTTCTTGTCCAACAACAAGGTACTTTGTTCAAAGTCAAAAGAAGTTTAGTCCATTTAACAATATTTATAACTATAAAAATCCTTTGAATTCACGGGCGCTTGATGTTTTTAACATTTCTCTTCATAAACAAAAAAAATCACTATAATATAATATAGGAATTTCTTTTTATTTATGAAAAGAAGGTTTAAAAGCATAAAGCGCCCGTGTTTGAATTCTGTCTTCGGGCCTAAGTAGTAGTTTGATTCTCCTTTAAAGAAAAACTGTAGCCTGTGCTACATATACTATAGAAAAAGGGAAACTTAAAAATTTAATTGTAATAATATATAAATGAATTCATTATATCAAATTAAAAAAAAAATGTTTTGACAATAAAATCCGTTAATAATAATATGTTGTTATTAATGTCGTTTAAAATACATGTATTTACGTTAAAAGTCATTAGTGCCATTAAATCCTCTGTAATGACTTGAACTTTTATAAAGGAGCCGTGGCACGCATAGTCTCAGAAATTCTCCAAACTCTCTATGATAAAAGTCTTTGTTACCATTAGATTTTCTGCGTGTAATGGTTACCATGGCAACATGTCCTAAATTTTTAACAGGAGGTCCATGGGCCCTATAGGTCACCTGAGTATTATGCAACAACTTTTCAGTGATTGAGTTTGGTTCATGCTTTAAACTAGACGTTATGGCATTCACAATTTTGAAAGAGGCACCGTTGTTAATCATAACAATACACAATTTCTTAGTTTGGTTACTTAATACCCATAGGCAGGGTATAGGGAGACAAAAATACATTTGAACTAATCGGTTATATTCAGCAATAATAAGTAGTGCCTCTACCACACATGAGCCCCTGACCCTAGGTCCACACATTTCACAATTTTGGAAAAGGCACCCTTGCTTATCAAAGATGTTTGATCAATACCAAGGCAAAGAGCAGATTTCTAACAATTTATTCATTTTCAGTATATTAGTAGAGCCCCCTCCTCTATGGTACACCCGACCCCTGGGCCTTGAAATTCACAATTCTGGAAGAAGGGCCCTTGCTCATCATAGCTATAAAGGTACAATCATGTAGTTCATCTGCTTAATACCCAGGGGCAGAGAAGATTTTCAAAGATTTAATGCAATTTCACTATAATAATCAATAGAGCCCCGACCTAGCACTAGAAGCCCCGACCCTAGGGCCAAAAAATTAACAATTTTGGAAGAGGCATTCTTGCTCATCATAACTATGTACTTAGTTTATTTAATACCCAGGAGCAGCGAAGAAGATTTTCAAAGAATTAATGCAAAGAATTAATTTCACTAGTATGTAATCAATAGAACCCCGCCATAAGACCAGAACCCCTGACCATTGGGCTATAAAATTCACAATTTTGGAAGACGCATTCTTGCTTATACCGTATATCAGGATTTTTCCGCGTGTATCCAATTTCCGCTTTGTTCGCGACGAGTTCTGAATCGCGGAAAATAAAACAGCGTAAATTTAATACAAGGTTTTCTTCTTCTAGTAGAATTATTTCTTAATGCTTATATCGTAGAGGGTATAAATAGCGGGATCAGAGGACAAGCGCAAGGTACCGATAATAGGTATAAACCCTAATTGTCTGTTCACTAATTGACACGCCAGCAAATTATATGGGCCACGTTTTTTTTGCGAGAAGCTATTTAAACTAATTATAACTGAGGTGCTTGTAAGTTTGGAACAATAAATCAACTATGATTGTGTAAAATCTTATAAATTTAAATAATATCTGTGGATTTGAGAGCTAGTACGAAACACAGGTGTGTAATCAGCTGAGAGGGTCAACCGAAATTGACAAGGTGAAGGTCGATCGATCTATTTCTCCCCGTATGAAGTAACTCAAGCTTAATGACTTTACACTTTGCATCCAATTCCTTCATAGGCTTAAACAATTGTTAATAATATTATCACTGGGACTGAAATAGTGAAAATTTGATTCGCGTAAATTTAATATACTGATTTAGGTTCTGATTCGTGGAAAAAACATGACGCGGAAAAAACCTGATATACGGTAATAACTGTATACTTAGTAAAGTTTGTTTAATATCCAGGAGAAGAGAAGATATATAGCCCCGTCCTAGCACAAGAACCCCTGACTCTGGGGTCAGGAATTTCACAATTTTGGTAGAAGACTCAATGCTTATTACAATTATATCAACAGTTTGACTGCTTGATGTCCAGGAGTAAAGTGGATTTTTAAAGATTGCATTAAATTCGTGGTTTTGGCCCCACCCCTAAGGCCCCAGGGGGGGGGAGTGACCATGAAATTCACAATTTTGTTTTCCTTCACCCATATATACTTTCCGTAGAATTTGGTTGAAATTGGTTGAGCTGTTGCAGAGAAGAAGCTGAAAATGTACAAATGTTAACAGACGACGCACACCGCATGACGACAGACGAAAACGGATAGCAATAGGTCACCTGAGTTTACTTAGGTGACCTAAAAATGGCATCTTCAACCAATTTTGGCATAAAGCATCTTTCGGTGAAGAGGAAAAAATTGTGAATTTCATGATCTGTGCTCCCCTTGGGCCTGAGATGTGGCTCCCAAAGCACTAATATTAATGTAATATTTAAGAATCTACTTCTTCACTCCTGGACATCAGGCAGTTAAACTGTTGGCATGATTCTAGGTATTCAAAGCAACAGTTTTGTTTTCTTGATAAAATTTCATCAATATATTATATTCAACTTTAGTTCTACCAGGTATAAGTACTACTCAAGATGAGTCAGATAATATGTTTTTTTAATTGAAAGGTACGTAAATTCCTAAAGCAGCAAAAAAATTATCCTTTTGAACCACTGGTACGTTATTTCCATGGTAACAATGCAAAGTAGCAATTAATCCTAATTTTTCTCTTTTTTTTCATTTCATTTTATTCAGATATAAATCTCACCGAATGTCATGATTCACATTTAAAACATTACAGATTAGCCTACTAATAGAAAAAAACCTACATATTATCTCAGCACTATGCTACTAAATAAAGATTTATTTGAACATAAACATGTGATTATTATTAAATAAGTTACAATACTTAAATATGATAGATAGTATCTAAGGATAACCCATAAAAGCCTTTTTAAAAATATTATTTCCAATGGGGTCCTCAAATAACAAATATGTTAGTAACAAAAATTACATTAATATTGGAATTGAGGCAGGGTACTTTCTTGAATAGAATAATGCTTTGAAAAATGACATGTTTCCCAATAACACATTTTTACCTTAAGAATTATCACTTATATGCTTATAAAACTAAATAAATAAATAGACAATAAAATTAGACAAGCTATTCATGTAGTATCACTAGCATTTGTAGATAAAAAAGATCTTATAGCTTTCTTAAAAAAAGAAGATGGGTGGATAAGGCGGACGAAGTGCTATAGTGCGACAAATAAGAAGTGAAAAATTTAATCTCAATTATATCCAAATTTTATTTGATATTTCATCTAATATTAAAGTATACTAGTCTTAATGTAAAATCTCTACAATTTACAAAAATCTCGGCAAGACTGAAAATATTTGCCTACGAAAAAGTATACACACACTAAAAAGAACAAAATCGATCATTTTCTCATACTTTAACAAAATTTTTAAATATGGGTGGGTCTTCCCTCCACTTTTTTTGAAAGATAATCATAAAAGTTTGCAATAAAATATACATTTTTTGGTTTACAAAAACATGGAGCAAAGACCCACTATACTTTAAAAGTACAGTTTTATTACAAACATTCGAATCTTTCCGAAAAATACTTCAAGTCCATTAATTAAAAGGTCATATCACAAACATGATTTAAGTGTCCGAAATTTTCATGAGCCATGTAGCATAGTGGTTAGCGTGTTAGTCTCAAAGCAGTATGATACGTCGGATTTTTATTTCTAGGGGTTCGAATTCCACGAATATCATCTTATATAAAATAAAATTTGTTAACGAGATTTTTTTTTCTCTCGGAAAAGTTTTTTTTTCATAATTTCATAGATTTTAATAATGAGAAGTTAATTTAATGCTCAATTCACATATTGAATATGATTTCTTAATATCCGACGCTATAGGCATTCTGCCCACCTTGTTCACCCATCTTCTTTGTTAAGCATTCACCTCCTTGATTTCGAGTGGCAATGCATTCCAGTCTTTAATACCATTATATAAAAACATGAAGATACTTTCCCTTTTATCTTGGGTATAATAAAATTATTTTATGTTGCACTTCTTGTAATATTATTTAGTACAAATTGATTGATTAATTGACTTATACAGCTAATCACATGCATTTGGACACTGTGACGCTAGATATATAATTAGATAGTACAGGTTTCTCCGAGTTTATTTTAATGTTTTAATGATCTTTCCGCAATTCTATAATTTGACACGTGATATAAAATGAACTAATAATAAAGTTATTAATTACAATGTATGAAAAAATATCATAAAAAGACTGCACAAATCAAGAGATATATATGTATTGGCTATTAGAAAAGAATGTACAGCGCATGCGTCATTTCATACATTCATATATAGTGAATTGTTAATTACTTCGCAAGCTTAATATGTCCTTTGGTGAGTACATTTACATGACCAGAGTGAAGATGTACTTTTTCAATCTGTGCAAATGTTTACTTATCTATTTATGCAATGCCTTTCAAATTCACTGTTTAGAAAACCTAAATTTGAGGAAGACCAAGCGGTTTCATTTTTTTTTTATTGAGGAAGTTTAAAAACTAGTTACACAATTACAATGTTTGATACCTTCTTATATCTAAAAACTTTAAAGTAGATTTCTATGCATACGAGTTTAAAGCGTTCTCAAATATATCATGAAATCAGAACTGCGCTTATGCCGATCTCTAAAACTGATCCTCTCCCTTACAAGATGATGGTATCTGGTATTGGTGAGCAATCAAGTTTTTATATGGGTATTTAATTTAATTTATCAATTTCCTTATTGATGCACAATATAAATTTATATCTAGTCGCCATATTGATATTTTACATCTCCGTTTTCATGTACAACAATGTACAACAGTCTTTCATGTGACTCTGATCTCCGTAATGTTAAAAACTTCATGTGAAATTTTTGTCTCCTTTCAGAGGCAGATTTCTCCTTGAAGCTGTTGTCAGTTAGTGAGTTACTCACCATTGATGTTTGATATACAAGAGAATCAGTTCTCTATTAATTTCCACATAAGGCGACCTTTGGTTTCCCTGCAGAGTTTTAACCTCTGATAAGGTGACATGTAATCTCCTTATTCATATATTACATGCATTTAATTTCGAAAACTCACTGCACATGTACAGTGCACCACAATTCATCTTCCAAAAGATGATTTTGCTAATTGCTTAAATGTAAGAAGAGTTCTGGGAACAACAGTATTTTAAAGGTACTTGGACACAGATTTGAAATTAATATTTTCTCTATAATAGTACGAATTATATATTTTAATAGCATTTCACATAAAAATTAATTAAAAATCTTATTTCATTTAAAAGTTATTAAAAATTCAAATTTTTTGGCGGGTTTGATTGACACATCCTTGCACTTTCACAAATCTTAACTTTATTTTTAATCCTTAGGAAAAGTGGCAATCTTGATGTGTATTAATGAAAAATATTAATACTATAATCCAGAAAATTCAGAGTAGACATGTTCTAAAGCAAAACAAACACACAATATATTGTCAGTCCGTGCAGTTGTGGTGAACAGACTTTGGCGATTTAACGCACCCGATGAATCGTAAACATCAAACAATAACATGTTTACAAAAACCTGTGTACATAACACGAGTGTGATCGATTCGCAAAACTCCGTACACAACGGAATGGCGATACTTATGAAGTAGTTCTGCTTTCTAACATTTTAACTCCGAATAAAATTATTCTTCTTGATTTATGTTGAACACCCCCCTCCCCCCCCCCCCCGCGCTTTGGGGTGTTAATGCTGCTCCAGACCCCTTTGCTTGAGTCAGAAAAGCATCAACATTATTTCTCATTAATACACATCAGGATTGCCACTTTTCCTAAGGATTAAGAATAAAGTTAAGATTTGTGAAAGTGCAAGGATGTGTCAATCAAACCCACCAAAAAATTTAAAGTTTTAATAACTTTTAAATGAAATAAGATTTTTAATTAATTTTTGTGTGAAATGCTATTAAAATATATAATTCGTGATATTATACAGAAATATACAGAAAATATTAACTTCAAATCTGTGTCCAAGTACCTTTAACCTAATATTTAAATCCCAAATGTTAAGGTACTCCGATCCTCAGGTTCTGAAAATCAGGCATTGACTGATTAAAAATACTCACAAAAATGTCTCTGAATTCTCAAAGCAACGAGTTTTACCCACGATAATTCTTCAAACTTTACTTGTACAGTTAATCATATTACATAGTGAAAATTAGTAAATCTCAAATAGATTTTCAGGAAATGCGAATTAAACATCTACTATGCATTTTCCAAATTAAATTGGATCAACAAACACATCATGTTGGAAATAAAAATCATAGGTGTCCAGGCTTTCGAAGAAATTGCACAATTTTTATACATACGTATAAGGTACTTTAATATCTTCTATAGCTATTCACTTCGATGATTTTACAATGCATAGTGTATAAAGATTTTCCTATCATTGCAAAACACCATAAATCACTTATAATTTCATTTCATGTTAATAAACATTGGAATCTATGATAAGATTACAATGAACTTCAATTTCTTCAAATATGTAATTCTAATATACTTTAATTAGTAACAATATGGACTTTTCATAGGAGCTTTCTGAGAACTTCAAAGGTCCTTGAAGCACACTAAGGAGTTTAAAATGCAAATTGTTGCACGAAAGGATTTAATTTTCAAGCTTCATTTTGATACTTTTTGAATTTAATAATAAATCAAAGAGTTATTGTAATTTAAAAGATATCTTGGATTCTGCATAAAATTTAATTTGATTTTTATCGAACTTGGCCTTGTTTTTGCAGGGTCAGTAAATAAATGTAATGCATATATACAAATATTTTTCAGAAATTTCAGATACCTAGAGAGAAAATATGGATCTTAAAGATGAAGAAATTTTAAGACTTAAGGAACGTCTAAATGAATACAAAGTGTCAAAAAATGTAGCTATCATAGGACTCCAAGAGTAGGAAAATCTTCCTTTTTAAACTCAGTTATAGCCAGTTTTTCCTTCAAATCCTGGCGAGAGCGGACTAGGGTAGGATCCTATGATCGAGTAGGGGAACAAGTTACGCATCATCTCATCAAGTATGTAATAATAAGCCTATTAATTGAATTTTCAATGCTAATGTGTGAATACTCATTGTATTTTTAAATTGCTTGGCACTTTAGTTCTATCAATTCATAATTGTTTGCTTTTTTACATATACATTGTACAGTACATGTTTATTATATTTCAGAATAAAACATATGCTATTGCTAGTGGGTTTATTTTAGTAAACCTTTACGGTACCACTGGTATGTTGCTCATGTTCTAAAAATAGCATGTGATACATAATGATGTTCTCCTTCCTTGTGACGTCACAATGTGAAAATGACGTCAATATGTAGCTGCCTTGTGACAAAAGAAAATGGCTGACAGTCTTACTCGAGCAACGAACAACTGCAAAGTTTAACGTATAATTTGGAAATTCCTTTGCAGTACCATATAATCAAGATAATTTGTACAAAGTTTATGAAGACAAAAGACATTCCGGAAGTGTAATCATAAAGTGGATTTATAATATTTTGGTGAAGGGGTTAATAAATATGACTTTGTTTTGCTGCTCAGTGAAAGAAAGCTGGGGAATAGATGTAACCTATGTTGGGAAATTTGTTATGAAAGATAGTCAAATTACAGCAAGAAAAAAGTTGAATATCTTAACAATAATTTACTTATTCATCCCAAAAATATTTTTTTTTCGTTAGACTTTAAACATATTGGATATGATAAACAGAAAGCGCCTATAATCTATATCATATGGTGGCATATTTCTGCCACCTACATGCAAGTTAAATTATGTTAACATGCAACATATTAATATCAATTAAGCATTAAATCATTTTTTTGAAAGATATAGTGTCATAATTGCAACGGTCTGTGCAAACTAATTGATAATGTCGATGTTCTAGCAAAATAAATGTGACGTGCAAAAATAAAAATTGGTAATTGTGTTTTCTGCAACTGTAACATTTAATGTTTTCAAAACAATAAGCCTTTTTTAATTTAAAGAATTTAAAGAATTTATTAGTTATTTTAGACATATCTGGAAACTAAATACGTTTTGGTTCCATGTCTTATGAACACCAATCTTGGGCAGCCTCCAGACAGCTCAGTATTACGTTACGCTACGATACCGATATCCATTACTAGTATTCATACGAAAGTAGTATGTATGTGACTTGTGACAAAAATGGTTGACACAGTCTTACTTAAGCAATACCGAATGGAATTTGCATCATGGGGAGCAGTTCATGCAACCAACTTTTCATAAAATCATTTAATGAGTACTAGTATATCTGATGAGAAATGAAAAAGAAACTAAAACGTTACATGTATGACTACAATTCAGACAAATTATAAAACGAATTTTTAAACTTTTATTCATGACTCATGTTTGTTACCAATCAAGAATTACCGGTATTTCATCGAGGCTATGAAAATATAACGCCTCAACTTCTCATGTGCACATTCTAACACAACCACAAATAGATCGGTCACTCCTGAGGCCGATAAAAATGAATACTGAAACCTAATTTTATTTGTTTTATGTAAATTATTCAATAAGTTCGCGAACTTTTTGATCGTCCCTCGTATAGATAAAATATAACTACTATAGACATTGATTTTCCCCGCGATTTCTCAATAAATATTGTTGTTTGTGCAATAGGCTTTAAGAATTCTAACCTTGGGGTAACCAAACTGGAATAAAGAAAAACATTTTTTTAACCTTAAACTTTTTTTTAACTAAAAAAAATCCTGGTTCCAAGAATTTTTACATTTAATTTTATACAGTAGTCAAATCACCTTCTGAAAGGAATTGCTGATGCTCTGTAGATGAGCAATAAGGTTTTGATTTTTTTCAACATGAAGTCAAAATTGGGGTTTAAACTGGCTTCTTCTTTTGAAAATAGCCCCGGGGATTTGTAGCAAGAAAATAAGCTTAATCGTATATCTTGACATTGATACAAGATATCAAATGCTAGTAACTTTACAAACATAATTATTATACTTCTGTTAAAATGTTTTCTATTTAAAGTTCAGAAGGTAAAATAACTATCCTTTAAAGTCTACGCATAGCAAGACTATACCCCGGGGTATAGTTTTTGCTATCCACCCTCGGAAAATTTTCATGCCATTGTTGCCGCCAATTTTGATTTCCACCGATAAATCTTTAAACTGATGATGTCATAATGACTTCAGTAGCATTGTGACGTCATCAGGATTTCAGAATATTCTTGCAGAATTATCTTACTCTAGAGAAATTCAAACCTCAGAAATTAAATTATACATCAGTATAATAAAACGCTTATCCACTGGGTGTGAGTGGAATAGCTCTTTTATCAAACCCTTGACAGGAACTATTCACCTCGGGCAAGCCCTCGGGGAATAGTTCTCTGTCGCGGGTTTGATAAAATAGCTATTCCACTCACACCCAGTGGATAAGTGTATATTATTCTTTTAAAAGAATTACAAAAGATGAATATCTGGACTCCGAGGAAAAGAAGAGTTATCCTTAACCAACTCTGATTGATATGGATGGGTTCGATGACGAATCCTCTGATAGAGTAAAGGAACAGCTGAGATACGTTATGTTTGGCGTGGTACGTACCACATGAACACAAGATAAAAGATGCTATTAAAGTTTATACGTAAGTATACTACTTTAATTGTAATGGTTACGATATATCTATCATATACATGTAGTTAGTTTGTTCAAAATATTAAATGATATATGGATAGCTAGACTTTATAGATAGTTTGATCTAAAATATCTGTAAGAGATAAGCTAGGTCTTTAGATTTAAAATAATTATTTGATCTAATGAACTTTCTACGTTAAATTTTTGAATTTTATGTAGATTTAATGGAATAACGGAAGCTTATAAAAATACACAGGAGCCTCTGAAGGTGGACTGTCTGATATTCGTGTCATCAGTAGACACTTCCTTATAATCTGATAGAAGCAGTGAAGCAGGTGGCAGTAAAAGAGGAAAGAGGTATGGAAGAATTAACATAACATATACGTGAATGAGAAGCATGATATGGACTTATACAATGGTCATTTTGATAAAAAGAAAGTCAAGATATCATCAGAAGTAGGATTTAGCATGTCTAGTTTGACTAAGTTTTGACATACTTTTAGTCATGGAATTTGTTTAATGTTCAATTCCTCTCCGATTTAAAGAAATGGATGAATAATTACATAAGTTTATTTCGACTTAGATTTGCATTATTTTGTTACAGTTATTCAGGTTTTTTGTGTCCTAACAAAGAAAGACAAAATTATTAATTTTCAAGAAGGGGACTCAAAAAAGAGAGATTTTTGTTCTAAACTTGCCCTTACAGAGAACCAGTTTCTTCTCTGCACAAACTACTGTGATGATTATGACAGAGTGATAGGGCAGTCTCGTTGTGAACATGTTTATCCGGAGCTAGATGTACCAATCCTAAAATTCATGACACAGGTTGAATTATGATCAAATCTAAATGTCTTTTTTAAAACCATTTTAGTAATATACCGGTCTATAAATGTGTAAATAAGTTTAGCATTGATTAGCTGGTATGCACCTTTATGAAATGTACTAGTATACTGATATAATTTGGTTTTAATTAAGGTTTGTGATAGTGTGGTCAAGGTTATACAAGACGATGCTGTACCTGTGAAACCTAAATCTTCCGAGAAGACTGTCTACGTTGTCATGGGATTGATGACCGTCGTGGGTTTTGTCCTTTTCGGCATTTATATTAAGAACCGATGATTGATACTTATACAAAGTTTGTACATATTTCCATTTCTGGAATAAAGAACCTGTGTGACAGGATTGGAGATATAACACAGAGACAACTCATGACTCAACTGATGTGTTTTGTTGTGGTTCTGTTAGCAATGGATTTCATGATGCCTCAATCAGAATCTTACACAGACTTAATAGGTTTTCATTAACACCAAACAGAGGCTTTGATTAGTGTAGGAATAAAAGAAAATATGACTCGAAATCATTTGATGCGATTTTAAGTAAATAAAGATGTTGAAGCAATCAAAATAGATCTAGTATATTTCTTGCAACAGTATTATTTTATTTAAAGAAATCTCTATTCACAGTGTTCACCGTAAGTATTATCATGTAAAGTAAGAATTGTCAGGAAGTGGGCAGCACTTCGGAAGGTCTCGGGAACCAGGCTAGTTATGAACTACGACGCTTCACGCCGGCATATTTCATGAAACGCGTTAGCGCTTCATGATAAATATGCCGGCGTGAAGCGTTGTAGTTCATATACCTCATGAATCTTCAAAAAATTAAATTCATTTTTTATATTTACATTATTTTTCTGATGACTTGCCATAAATTTACGTTGTTCAACTGTCAATTTTAAAACAAAACAGAGTGCACTATATTTTTTGACGTCAAGAGCGGTATTATGACACGTGTAACAATGGAGATATTCATGCTTATTCGTGATACATACCTAATGTAGTTAATGAGAAAATATACTGCATTTTATTTTGTAAAGAATCATAGGGGAAATTTATTGGAAATGTTAATAGCGAGCGCAGCGAGCGACGCTCGTCACTGCGAGCTCTTAAAGCAACGCCTGTGCGAAGAGAAAATTCGAACTACTGCACATTCATTCGATGGATTTTTTTGACGCCGCAATTTCGACCCACAATGCATCGCTTAGTAAACAACGCTAAAGCAACGTTCTCGCGAGAATAAGAACAAAAAGTTAAACGAAAAATAGACTTGCTTTGATTTAATGAAATTGTTGCTGAAAAATAGTTAATAAAACGGTTCTTCATCTAAAATCAGCCCTGTTTAAGCCTGATTTTGATAATGCAAGATGCATACGACGTCATATGACGTCAGAGTCTTAGACGCGTCGAATGTCACGTGCGGATTGACGAGTCTGATTTAAATGAAAACTGGATAAGTATCTGCGCTCGCCCTAACGGTCGCATCGTCAACATATTATTAAGCAATATTATACTTTCATGTAAATTAGTTGAATCTAATTGGTCGAGAAACATTTGTTAAAAAACACTATTACCCGCTGAATAATGAAGCCATGCCCTCGAGCGTAGCAATAGTCAACATTGCTTGACGACGGATGATATTCTAAAAAATAGCGACTGCGCAAAATTTATGCGCGCACGCTAATGTTTAGAGCTTTTCACCCCTCGAAAACCATTGTCAACCTCTCAGAATGTTCTTTCGTCTATATGTGATTCCTTTAAAAATGAGCATATCTCTTATGAATAAGATATTAAATCTATGTTTTTCTACCCCCATTCATCTCCTGTGTTGGTATATAATGTTAGTGCCCATTATATCATAACTCAAATTACTGTTTGATTTTCTCTTTATTATGAATTCCGTACATTTAAACACTGAATAATGACAAGGAGCACACGGCGGATGTGTTCAATTGGCAAGGGATGCTTACTTCTTCATGGCACCTGTTTGCTAAAGATGCTGAAAAAATTGTATTCTTTAATGGACTTTTAAGCTTGAATACTGTTTTTTATCTCCATAAATTTCACATATATATAATATTATCAACTGCATATGGAAATTTTAAAATATGTCTCTCAGTTGATGTGATACAAAAGATCATATGCTTCGCAAACACTTTAAATCGTATAGGACGAATGTGACTGGTTGACAGGCATTACGCCTTCATTGCACCTGATCTAATCCCTGATGTTTAAGAGTACATGTTTACTCTTCTTCAAAATTATGAAATTCACCCTTTTGGTCTTATTACCTTTCCATTTAACATGTTTAATAAATACTTTCTGGAGAATTTTTTGATACACGTTTCACATCAACACAAATTTCAGAGATAAAAGAAACACCCTGTTGTTACTTCTTGTTGTCCAATTATTCACTGTAAATTCTAATGCTTGCATGCAACGATTGCTTAGATTTTTTATTCATAAATAACCTTTAACCATATTGAACACTTCTGAGTGTGTTACCTTTGATCCGAAATCAAGCATTGATTATTTTCAATTTGTATCTGCTACACATCGCATGAACAATTCTGAATGTTCAATATATTAATGAATGTTGTATAACACATTGTGTTTCCATACTACCGGTAATTGACTTGGCGCTTTAAAGTAACCCGTGCCGAAGAATTAGGTCATCAGATTTGTTTTTGACAGCATTACAATGTTATGATTCCTTCATAAGATTTTTAGGATATTAGCAGCAAATAAAGTATATGCCTGCTTATGATTATATGGAATATATTGTTTTTACATTTGTAAAAATCTCAGGACATGATCGGGATCGGAATTAAAAATAACACCGTCTATTTTCCCGCTATTATACTCCGAAGATGTTGTTGAGTGTTCTATGCTGAGGTATTTGTAATTACCAGCACTTCAAAGGTAAGTATGCGTGTACATAATTGCAATGGATTTATTTTAAAATCTAGAATGTATATAATTACTTACCAAGAAGGCAACGCTATTGATAATATATCATTAAATACTAGTTGAGAAACATTTGCCATTTTGGGACTGGATATTTGACTTGCCAAGTTAACATTGGATAATGTTTATAGCCACTATAATGTACTCAAAATGTCAACAAAAATCTTTCTCCAGATGGAAAACTGTAGAATGAAAACATTTTTGTCGAAAATACAGATTAAGTACCGTTATGCAGAATAAATGTGATCATGAGGACGCATGCAAATCGTCGCAAAATTCGGGTTTTGCAGTCATCCTATTTCCATACACCATGAAATGGACAGTCAGTGGCTAGGGTGAAATTTAAATTATGTAAATAAGTAATGCCATATAGATTAACAGATTCCCTAACTACTCAAGTTATGAGTAATGGTTATCAATCGCTTATCTGAGTGTCTCTTTTCTACAACCACATGATTATGACTCTCAGACGAAATCAGAAGAGGGACTTCCTGCTACAAGAACAAATCTGGGCCAACATACAAAACAATGCACCTTGCAATTTGAACAATGTCAAAAACGTGAACAAAACAAAACCCATCCATTTGACACGATATAAACGAATATCATTAATTTCCAAAAGACTGATAGCGATATAGAAGAAAATTATTATCAAAACTTGTTTAAAAATAAATCTGTACTCTAAAGTCATATAAACACTTAATTTGATGAATAACGCAAGGTAAAACAATGTTTAAAATGTTTAGTTTGTGAATTTAATGAATTAATCGTATACATGTATATACAACAGTCAGCATTAGAAAAAATTAAAAGGGCCCTTTATAATTAAATGTAGTGTGACAAGTAGTAATCAGGTTCTGACACAGTGCGCTCACATTCAGCTCGTGTACAATCTGTCAAACACTGACTGCTAATTAGGCATTGCACATCCAAATAATGGAAATATTACGTTTGTATGTGGCTTTATTTTAACTTTAAGTGTCCCACCAGTGGATATGCCACAAGATTTAGACCTATATTCATGATATTTGAAGTAATTTATTTATTTTACTAGATGTGGTAAAGGATGAAGTTGAATCAACAATCGAAATATTCAAAATGTACCTGTCTACGTAATTTATTTCTTGATCTTGATATGATTTCAAAGGATAACAACATTACACGAAATACGGAAAGCTTTATGTCAATTAGGAGACTGAAGATTACATTCAGAATGTTCTCCTGAGCTCAAAAAAGCTGAGTTCCATACAGGGCTTGTCCTTAAAAAATGGATAGTCATTACTGTAATAAAAAATTAAATTTGATAGCAAAATTTCTGTTTTTGAATTTTCATAAGTGTGTCATTGTTCGAATTACTTTACTTTGAAACAATGGAGATAAACAGTATTCAAGATCATAAGTCCATAAAACGATACAAAATAGGAGCAGAGCAAACACGGACCTCCAAAATATCAGAGGTGGGATCAGATGCCATAGAGGAGTGAGCATCTCCTGCTGAACGGTCACACGTGTTATGTGCTCCTCTTCATGATCGAGAAATAATCAATTCAGTGTATAAATAATACCCTAACAATTAGTATGAAAAACGTCAGTCAGCATTGAAAAACGCCAGTCATCATTTGAATAGATGATAAATAGTATTTTCTGACAAGGTCATTGTATCGACAATGGAACTTACGAAAAGATTTTTTTTCTATGCATTCCTTTGTAAAACTCTAATTGCTTATCTTGGCCGCAGCCTCCCCACCGTAAATCTGAACATATTTAAATCTACACTACCTGAGGATGCTTCCATAATATATGAATAATCATGGCTTAGGAGTTTTTTTTCATGATGATTCCAATATATTCTTATCAAAAACTTTTACCTCTAGTGCCCCAAACCCCTCAGTATCATTATTTGAACAAACTTGATACCACATTCCTAAAATTGCTTCTGAATAAATATGACAAATTATTGCTAAGTTGTTTATGGAAAGATTTCTCAGATTATTTCCTATGATCAAGGACTTTCCTTTTACTCTGTTTAAGTTAATGAATGGTATGATTATAAAGACAGTTCTGTCTGAGGGTATATCACACACATTTTTAAAATTTCCTTTTATCTAGAGATGGAGACTGGGTGAGGTACTACTTACACCATGCCCCCTTAAGTTCTCATTGATAGATTGATCCCACGTCTGATCTTTTTGGGTCTGTTTTTGTTCTGCTCCAAATCTATATCGTTTAATGGACTTTGAGCCACAGGAAATGTTGTATTCTTTTAATGTATAAAATTTTGATAAAGGAGATATGTTAACATGACGAGCGACAAGCCTACAGCATGACAAACATGTAAGTGAAAAATTAAATCTCAATTATATCAAAGTTTCCTTGGAGCACACGTGTGACCGGTCGGCAGGGGATGCTCACTCCTCCATGGCACCTGATCCCACCTCTGATGTTTCGGAGGTCCGTGTTTGCTCTGCTCCTGTTTTGTATCCATTTTGTTTTACGGACTTTGATATTTAATACTGTCCGTTATCTCCATATCCTTCTTCCTCCACCATTACAGCATATGTGTAATAACTTTACTCTAGATATTGAATTCAAATTTTGAATACGATTTTTATATACTAGTATCTGAAGCTATGGATTTATGCACGCTAAGTTCACCCATTTCCTTTTGCTTCATGTGAATACAAAATAAGGTCTGCTAATAACGTGAATCAATGAGTACCCACTTGATGCTTAAAAGGTTACCTGATCACCAGGTAAGCTTTTGTTTAATAATTAATCCTGATTGTATATGTAATAAAACTTAATTATATGCACAAATCTTGATGTTTACAAAGTCTGAAGTCATTTAAGATTTGAATTAGGGCTAAGAAATAAAGTCCTTATTAAACCAGTGATAGAACTCCTGGAAACATCTTGTGATTTCTATGTTCAATTTTACACTAGTGATCTGGAGGAAGAAACTGGAACAGTGAAATGTCTACTAGACAAGATCCCGATGGTCGGTCTAGGTTTGCTAAGCTTGGACTAGCAATCAATGATGAGTTAACTCAGGCATACAGAGATATTCTTGAAATGGAGGTGACCCCTGCATGTGTGTTGAACAAAGCGAAATCATCAGGAATTTTTCAGACCCTCTATCCCGATCAGTTGGTACTTTTAGGAAACGCAAAAAATGATGGATTCAAGGATTTTGACATTTCACTTTTATACAAATTGCTGAGACACGTTTGTACGACGATTCAAAAGTCAACAAAAGGCTGGGGTGGGAATACGATGCCTGCAGAAGGAGAAATTACTGTAGGTGATGATATTGAGAGGATACGGTTAATACGGAACAACTTATATGGTCACGTGAGCTCAGCCTCGACTTCACAGACAACATTCAATAATTACTGGACAACAATTTCCAGTGTGTGCCAAAGACTACAGACTTACACATCCAAAAACTACTCAGATGCCCTTGATAACATTCAGGCACAGTCCATGGAGGAGTGTGAGGAAGCTATTATAGAAAAAATTAAGCTGATTGTGAGAAAGAAAAAGTACTCCTAGATCAAGTGTCTTCTCTGAAGTCAGACGTTCAGGAAATAAAAGTAGCGTTATGGTCTGGGAGAAAAGGTAAGGATTTATTTAAAAAATGAGGAATATTTATCACGACAACTTCATTGTTTCAGTAGTTGTAAAATAAGTCTTTATTATTAAACAAAAAAATTACGAATTACCGATGGGCTCAACATGGAAAAAGAACAGCAAATGTTTGTCAAATATTTACGTGAACAAACGTACAGCAACCACCCGCAAATCAGTTACAGTTACATATGTACATCTATATACCTGGTTAATTTTCAGATGGGCTTTTATTCAGACACCAGGCTCTGACGTATTTTAAGGCAGTTGTTTCCAGTGACCCGAGGGTCAGACCAGATGATGCAGAGGACACGAATCTGGAGGGGGCGTCAGTGGAAGCAGTAGGTTCACATTCTTCTCTAACCCTTGTAAAATCTTTACATCTATCATTTAAATCATTTCTAAATGAAAGAATGCATATCTATTCGACTGATTTGTTAATAAACACATATATAAGCTCTGAAAATCAAAATCTCCTTAGATTAATTTAGATATAAGTAAGTAAATTAATTTGTATTTTTAAGAGAGAGAGAGAGAGAGAGAGAGAGAGAGAGAGAGAGAGAGAGAGAGAGAGAGAGAGAGGGAGGGAGATGGGTTTTTTTTTCAGAGTATTGATTTAAGGTATAACAATGTTTAACACATTAGAATATAGCATTATCTTATTTTTTCCTTTAATTATGTTCTCGATTTTATTTATACATCATATAAGGGTAAAAAAAAAATAAAAGTTGAGTTTCTAAAACTCAATATACGACTTTCTGTTTGAAAGTATATAGACAATTTAAAACTATCATTTTTGCATATACTTTCACTTTTTATAAGTAAATAGAGCATTAAGCATAATCAAGAAAATTTGTTTTGAATATAAGAACAAAAAAAATTACAATCAAATTTCACGAAAATAGAGTGTTTCGAAAAATAAACAATAATTTTGCCATTTTGTCTCTTTTCATTAGGAAGAACTGCTGAATTTAAAAGACAAAGAGCTAGAACTGTTTGAGAAAGAATTGAGTAAATGCAAAGTACCAAAAAATTTGGTTATCTTTGGACAGCAAGGTGTGGGAAAATCCTCCTTTATCAACTCTGTTATTGCAAGTTTTTCGTCAAACTGCTGGCGAGAGTGGACAAAAGTGGGGGACTTCGATGGTTGCAGATATGGGGAACGAGTTACACGTCAACTTATACAGTAAGTACTGATCTATTACACGTCTACTTATTCAGTGAGTACTGAACGAGTTCAACGTCAAATTACGAAATAAGTTCTAATAGTTACATGTCAACTTATAAAGTAAGGACTGATTGATTGCATCTGATACTAGTCTTCTTTTATTCTTTCCAGGATTTCTAAGGATGAATACCTGGACTCAGAGAGACAGAAAAAGTTTCCCTATCCAACACTCATTAATTTGAATGGATTCCAATATATATTTTTAGAGAAACTGATAGTCTTACTAAGATATGTCTTATTTGGTCTGGTCACAGAAAAACACAAACTGTTAGATGCACTGAAGTTTTATGGGTGAGTTAAAATATATTACTGCATTTAATGCATTTAAGCTTATCTACCAGGGTATCTTATTCAAATAAATAAAAATATACCCTAGCTGGTATTGTTTTTCTATTCTTTTACAAAAATTTATTTATAACTGATGAATAGAGCTCCTGAAAATAGTACTATATATACAGTACAGCGCTTTGTGGGCATCATTGCAATTTAGTCATTATACCCCTCGCTTGAAAAGCGGGAGGGTATATAGTAATCGTTAATTCCGTCCGTCTGTACGTCTGTCCGTCCGTCCGTCTGTTACGCTTTGGGGTACCCATCTCTTATCCGCAACTCCTCTCATACCACTGAATGAAATTTGATGAAACTTTCACAGAATCTTTATTACATATTGCCATTGTGCACCTCCTATATTTTACTTTTTGATCCGACACATATTTTGGGTTTCCCGGCCACAACAAAACATTTGCCATTGTAACTATATGGAGGCGGGGGGTATCATTTAGTGAGCTCATCGCTCACAGTACCTCTAGTTTCAATAGAATTTTGAAATATTTAAACAAATACGGAATGTTAACATTTACTTGCTTTTCATTTAGGTATGAAGACATTAAACAGGCAATGGCATATTTATCAAAACCGGAAAGAACCAGGGCGGACGGTCTGATTTTCATGACCTCGGCCGTCTCTTCTCTGCCTCACAATATCTTAAACGCCGTAAGACAGGTGGCAGTGTTAGAGGCAGGAGGTAAAATAAATAAATTGATTTAGAAAAAAGTTCATATCACTTTCTTGAGTTTGATACAAAATGTTTACATTTTGATCAAAACAATTTCTGCACTCTTTCATATAGCGTAGATTTAATTCATGTGTTATCACCACGGCTTCCTTTTTGAGTGCTTTGACAGTAAACTAATAGACGGGGTCACGTACGTGACCCCGTCCAAAATGATTTTGTCCGCGTGTCGCTTGTACGCTAGATTTTTTTTAATTCCAATCAACTCTCAGGCTTGGTTAACAAAATTACTCGTTATTTTCACATTTCATTCCATTTCAAGCTCACCTCAAGAAAGCTAGGGGGAACTTATGTCATACCCTCGGCGTCGATGTTGGCGTCCCATGTTAAGGTTTTTGGGTCAGTTCTAGTACTACCATGCCCTACATTAATCAGACATGCATGGAAGATTTCTGTGCAAGATAATGTTTCAGATGCTGCAATATCAGCAAAGGCTAACATTTTGCGGCAGGTAAACATTTTGGTGTAGGTCTACTTTCCAATTAACTGTAAGAAGGATATGGAGATAACGAACAGTATTCAATCTCAAAGTCCATAAAACAACACAAAATAAGAGCAGAGCAAACATGGACCCCCAAAACATCAGAGGTGGGATCAGGTGCCATGGAGGAGTGAGCATCCCCTGCCGACCGGTCACACACGCCGTGTGCTCCATGTCATGATCAGGAAATAACAGAAAAAATCCGTCTTCAATTCAGTGTGTATATAATGGCATAACAATTAGGATGAAAAACATCAGTCAGAATTTGACTTCATGATAAATTATGCTTGCTGACAAGGTCATTGTATCAACCATAGAACTTACGAAATGATAACTTTAAACAAGACTGTTGATATTCTTGGTTCTTCAACTTGCTTGTTAATAATTTACCTCATTTTAGAAACTGTTCATACGTAGAGCATGCTCTTTGGTATCGAATCAACTGACATTTATATACTTCGTATGCAAGTGATGAAAGTATATTGCTGCATAAGTAAGGGAAGTTGACGATAGAAAAATCCTATGCTGACCAAACTTGCATGGATGATATATTTAAGAATGCATACTGTCAGGCTTGCTTTGGATGTTGAATCTGAGCTACATTTTTCGAAAGAGTGAACAGTTTTAAGTTTTTTATGCAGTTCACATTTCCAAGTAACAATGGGCCCAATGTTGAGCAAGCTTGCATGGATGAAACATCTAAGAATGCACACTAATGGAATTGCTTTCGACGCTGGATCTAACCTATATTTTCCAGATGAGTAAACAGGTTAAATGTTTTGGAGCTAAATAATATAGAAATAATTCACAAAAACATTTTTTTTCTCATGAAAATACACCTGTGTGTGTCTGTGTTTTTTTTCTGTGTGTGTGTGTGTGTGTGTGTTTTTTTTTAAAGTTTTGCAGTTTGTTTAACAGAATAAGAGATGTCATGACTTTTCTGGCTATGTTTATCATGTTTATCATTATCACAGTTCCGTTGTTTGGTGTGCTAACAGAACTTGACAAAGTTAACGACTGGGAGGCACTTGCAATAAAGAAGAAGGAATTCTGCTCCAAACTCGGTTTCTCAGAGACGCGACTGCTTCTGTGTACCAACTACTGCGACGATTACGATACATGCTCGGGACATTCCCGTCTGAATCAAGTTCATCCTGAGCTAGATGTACCCATTTTATCCTTTATGAGACAGGTGATATATCTATCAAAAATAGTCTTCTTAGCCATACACTTACATATGTCATCCGTAAATAAACGATTGGATATCTGCAAAAATTGCTTATGATCATAAATAAAATTTAATTTTCCAGGTCTGTGACATTGTGAACATCGATACCAAATTGAAAGCATTTCCGTCTAGTGGTAAAGTTATTAGGTGTAGTGCACTCGGAGGAAAATTTAGTTATAACTCTGCACCTGTCGTCAATGACATGACACTTGTCATGGGTTTGGTTGTTGCTGTAATCGCGTTCGGATACTGGACTCTTACCAAGTAAGATGTCTCTTGAACACTCCTTGTCATGGATTCGACATCGATAACCATAGAAGACACTTGGTCTAGACATTGATGAAAACAGAAGACTCTTTGTTATATGGAAGAGACATAGACATTGGTGTCTAGAGAATACTCCTTGGCATCGATTAGACTTAGACAATTAATTGTCTATAAATAGCGGACTTCTGGTCATGAAATAGACATCGTGACTAAGTATGGCTTCCAGTATTCGAAACGACCGCGGTGGCTATAGAAGACTCATACAGTCATATGATATCTTTTGGTGACTTTAGAAAGACAATATGTAACAGATTAGCGTCCTAAGTGTGCTTTATGGTAGATGTGATTTGACAGATGTATATAAATGTAATGCCGAGGAAGCTTGCCTATTGAAAAAAGCATATTTTCAATATTCCTAAATTGATCTCATTGAAGGCATCGATTAAGTTATGCGTATTGTACATACTTTTAATTCTAATTAGGTCTTTCCACCTTTCTGTGGAAAGACCTATTGATATTCTTCTGTTTATTATTAGGTCTTTCCACCTTTCTGTGGAAAGACCTATTGATTTCCTTCTGTTTCTTTTTTTCCTTTTTCTTATTAGGTCTTTCCACCTTTCTGTGGAAAGACCTATTGATTTCCTTCTGTTTCTTTTTTTCCTTTTTCTTATTATTTTTTATTATTTTTCCGCCGTGTGATTTTGAGTTTCAAGATTTATCGTAAAGATTTTCAATTCATAAGAATGTACTCCGTAAAAGATTTTCGCAGTTGACCCTGCGTATATAAACTATGACCCCTTTCGGAGTTATTACCCCTTTCGCAAAAAAGCTTGTTATCGCTACTCCTCCGAAACCATAAACCGTAGAGAAATGAAACCTTCACTTATGTCTTCGACTAATTTAGTAGACACTTTATTGATTCATTGCGAAAGTATTCATTGACCCCTTCAATAAGTTATTGCCCCTGGAAGTTTTAGAATTTTACAAATAATTAAAAATTTTCAAAACGAGAAGACGTAGAAACATGGGACCAACTGCATAAGATTTATTGACCTTTGACCTTAAAATTCATTTTAAGGTCAGAGGTCAAGGTCATTCCAAAACTGAGAAATTTAGCTCTTTTTATATCTCTTTTGTCTTTGAACATATACTTAATGTCTATGCATCATTAATATGTACTTTTAAAACTGTTTCAAAGATTTTATTCTTGTCCCCTAACATGAACCCATTTAAAAGTTATTGCCCCTTGTGCGAAAAACCTTGTTATCGCTACTCCTCCGAAACTTTAGACCGTAGAGACACCAAACCTTCACTAATGTCTTAAGGGTCTTTAGACCTAACTTCACTGTATAGGTGCAAAAGAATCTGATGACCCCTTGTATGAGTTATTGCCCTTTAACTTCTTTATACTTACTATTAAACCTTGTATCTTGAAAACTATAAATGGTAGAAGCATGGGGCCAACTGCATTGTGACCCATGACCTTTGACCTTGAATATTTTGTCAAGGTCAAAGGTCAAGGTCATTGCAAAAATGAGAAATTAAGCTCTTTTTATATATCCTTTGTCTTTTAACATATGCAATCAGTCTTTGCATCATTAATATGTACACTTAAAACTATTTCAAAGATTTCATTCTTGTTCCCCAAGATAGACTCTATCAAAAGTTATTGCCCCTAATGCGAAAAACATTGTTATCACTACTACTTCAAAACTGTAGACCGTAGAGGCATGAAACCTTCACTTATGTCTTAAGGGTCTTTAGGCACACCTTCATAGTATAAGTACTAAAGGATCTAATGACCCCTTATATGAGTTATTGCCCTTTAACTTCTTTATACTTACTATTAAACCTTATATCTTGAAAACTATAAATGGTAGAAGCATGGGGTTAATTGCAATGTGTCTTTTGACCTTTGACCTTGAAAATTTTTTCATGGTCAAAGTTCAAGGTCATTAAAAAAAATTTTTTTTTTTTTTTTTACATTTTCATTTTTTTTTTCAAGCCATTTCCCTTAAAATTAAATTTAGAGTGTAAAATATAAAACTATAAGAAATTTAAAAAGGTGGAAAGACCTCTTATTGTTCTATGAACAATAAGTCTCCTAGTTATTTTTTATTATTTTTCCGCCGTGTGATTTTGAGTTTCAAGATTTATCGTAAAGATTTTCAATTCATAAGAATGTACTCCGTAAAAGATTTTCTCAGTTGACCCTGCGTATATAAACTATGACCCCTTTCGGAGTTATTACCCCTTTCGCAAAAAAGCTTGTTATCGCTACTCCTCCGAAACCATAAACCGTAGAGAAATGAAACCTTCACTAATGTCTTCGACTAATTTAACAGACACTTTATTGATTCATTGCGAAAGTATTCATTGACCCCTTCAATAAGTTATTGCCCCTGGAAGTTTTAGAATTTTACAAATAATTAAAAATTTTCAAAACGAGTAGTGATAGAGACATGGGACCAACTGCATAAGATTCATTGACCTTTGATCTTAAAATTCATTTTAAGGTCAGAGGTCAAGGTCATTCCAAAACTGAGAAATTTAGCTCTTTTTATATCTCTTTTGTCTTTTAACATATACTTAATGTCTATGCATCATTAATATGTACTTTTAAAACTGTTTCAAAGATTTTATTGTTGTCCCCTAACATGAACCCATTTAAAAGTTATTGCCCCTTGTGCGAAAAATCTTGTTATCGCTACTTCTCCGAAACTTTAGACTGTAGAGACACCAAACCTTCACTAATGTCTTAAGGGTCTTTAGACCTAACTTCACTGTATAGGTGCAAAAGAATCTGATGACCCCTTGTATGAGTTATTGCCCTTTAACTTCTTTATACTTACTATTAAACCTTGTATCTTGAAAACTATAAATGGTACAAGCATGGGGCCAACTGCATTGTGACCCATGACCTTTGACCTTGAATATTTTGTCAAGGTCAAAGGTCAAGGTCATTGCAAAAATGAGAAATTAAGCTCTTTTTAAGCTTTGTCTTTTAACTTATGCAATCAGTCTTTGCATCATTAATATGTACACTAAGAACTATTTCAAAGATTCCATTCTTGTTCCCCAAGATAGACTCTATCAAAAGTTATTGCCCCTTATGCGAAAAACATTGTTATCACTACTACTTCAAAACTGTAGAACGTAGAGGCATGAAACCTTCACTTATGTCTTAAGGGTCTTTAGGCACACCTTCATAGTATAAGTACTAAAGGATCTAATGACCCCTTATATGAGTTATTGCCCTTTAACTTCTTTATACTTACTATTAAACCTTATATCTTGAAAACTATAAATGGTAGAAGCATGGGGTTAATTGCAATGTGTCCTTTGACCTTTGACCTTGAAAATTTTTTCAAGGTCAAAGGTCAAGGTCATTTAAAATTTTTTTTTTTTTTTTTTTTTTTTACATTTTCATTTTTTTTTTAAGCCATTTCCCTTAAAATTAAATTTAGAGTGTAAAATATAAAACTATAAGAAATTTAAAAAGGTGGAAAGACCTCTTATTGTTCTGTGAACAATAAGTCTCCTAGTTATTTTTATTATTTTTCCGCCGGACGAATTTTTGTTTCAAGGTCTTTTGAAAAGATTTATAGTTTATAAGAATGTACTTTGTAAGAGATATTTGGAAAAAACCCTGCGTATATGAACTCTGAATTCTTTCGAAGTTATTGCCCCTTTCCCAAGAAATGCTTGTTATCGCTACTCCTTCGAAACCGTAAACCGTAGAAATATGAAACCTTCACTAAAGTCTTCGACTAATTGAGAGGACTCTGGAATCTATTCATTGCGAAAGTATTCGGTGACTCCTTCAATGAGTTATTGCCCCTGAAACTTTATGAATTTTAGATATAATTAAAAATTTTCAAAACGAGAAGTGATAGAGACATGGGACCAACTGCATAAGATTCATTGACCTTTGATCATGAAATTAATGCAAAGGTCAAATATCAAGGTCATTCCAAATTTGAGAAATTAAGCTCTTTTTATATCTTTTTTGTCTTTTAACATATACAAACTCTCTTAGCATCATTAATATGTACTCTTAAAACTATTTTAATGATTTAATTCGTATTCCTTAAGATTGACCCTATTAAAAGTTATCGCCCTTTGTACGAAAAACCTTGTTATCACTACTCCTTCGAAACCGTAAACCATAGAAATATGAAACCTTCACTAAAGTCTTCGACTAATTGAGAGGACTCTGGAATCTATTCATTTCGAAAGTATTCGGTGACTCCTTCAATGAGTTATTGCCCCTGAAACTTTATGAATTTTAGAAATAATTAAAAATTTTCAAACCGAGAAGTGATAGAGACTTGGGACCAACTGCATAAGATTCACTGACCTTTGATCATGAAATTAATGCAAAGGTCAAAGGTCAAGGTCATTCCAAATTTGAGAAATTAAGCTCTTTTTATATCTTTTTTGTCTTTTAACATATACAAACTCTCTTAGCATCATTAATATGTACTCTTAAAACTATTTTAAAGATTTAATTCGTATTCCTTAAGATTGACCCTATTAAAAGTTATCGCCCTTTGTACGAAAAACCTTGTTATCGCTACTCCTTCGAAACCGTAAACCATAGAAATATGAAACCTTCACTAAAGTCTTCGACTAATTGAGAGGACTCTGGAATTTATTCATTTCGAAAGTATTCGGTGACTCCTTCAATGAGTTATTGCCCCTGAAACTTTATGAATTTTAGAAATAATTAAAAATTTTCAAACCGAGAAGCGATAGAGACTTGGGACCAACTGCATAAGATTCATAGACCTTTGATCATGAAATTAATGCAAAGGTCAAAGGTCAAGGTCATTCCAAATTTGAGAAATTAAGCTCTTTTTACATCTCTTTTGTCTTTAAACATACACTTAATGTGTTTGCATCAATGATATGTACTCTTAAAACTATTTTAAATATTTCATTTTTGTTCCCTAAGATTAACCCTTTTAAAAGTTATTGCCCCTTGTGCGAAAAACCTTGTAATCACTACTCCTCGGAAACTGTAGACCGAAGAGACACCAAATCTTCACTAATGTC